TAGGCCACAGTCCATACTGTACGGTCAGGGCATTGACTCGGTAGGTACCAAATGGCCCCCTGAACCCAGGCATCTTCGTGCTCTTCAGACCACTGCGATAGCCACACAACTGAGCGCAAGATTAAGACAAGATATGTCACTTCCGTGCCCAACGCCTCCACCTGTGGAAACATACAAGTCACAGAAGCGAAGCACAAACACAACACACAACTGCAGGCCAAAGAGGTACTGTACTGTATTTCTCACTAATTCCCCGACGGTACTCACACCCATCAAACTGTGCCACTTTGGCAATATTTCTCTCACTCGTTTCCCGAAGGCATTCACACCCATGAAACTGCGGCATCAGCTCTCTCTTCCTCTCTTTCTCTCTCTCTCTCTCTCTCTCTCTCTCTCTCTCTCTCCTTCTCTCTCTCATTACCCGAAGGCATTCACACAGACCAAACTGTGCCACTGCAGCATTAGCTCTCTCTCTCTCTCTCTCTCTCTCTCTCTCATTACCCGAAGGCATTCACACAGACCAAACTGTGCCACTGTGGCATTAGCTCTCTCTCTCTCTCTCATTGCCCGAAGGCATTCACACCCACCAAACTGTGCCACTGCGGCGTTAGTTCTCTCTCTCTCATTGCCCGAAGGCATTCACACCCACCAAACTGTGCCACTTCGGCAATATCTCGGTGCCACTGCGGCATTAGCTCTCTCTCTCTCACTCATTGCCCGAAGGCATTCACACCCACCAAACCGTGCCACTGCGGCATTAGTTCTCTCTCTCTCATTGCCCGAAGGCATTCACACCCACCAAACTGTGCCACTTCGGCAATATCTCGGTGCCACCGCGGCATTAGTTCTCTCTCTCTCATTGCCCGAAAGCATTCACACCCACCAAAACTGTGCCACTTCGGCAATATCTCCGTGCCACCACGGCATTAGCTCTCTCTCACTCATAGCCCGAAGGCATTCACACCCACCAAACTGTGCCACTTCGGCAATATCTCGGTGCCACCGCGGCATTAGTTCTCTCTCTCTCATTGCCCGAAAGCATTCACACCCACCAAAACTGTGCCACTTCGGCAATATCTCTGTGCCACCGCGGCATTAGCTCTCTCTCTCTCTCACTCATTGCCCGAAGGCATTCACACCCACCAAACCGTGCCACTGCGGCATTAGTTCTCTCTCACTCATAGCCCGAAGGCATTCACACCCACCAAACTGTGCCACTTCGGCAATAGTGAGGTTCTGTCACACGGTAAAACGTGCCAAAGTACGTATGGAAACTTCGCCGCGGTACGGGATTTAGTTTGATACGGATTTTTTCATACCGTTTTCCGTGTGAAGCGCGCTTCACACGGACTGGACTCCCTGTGAAAAGTGAGCGTACAGAGTACATGTGGCGGGGTGTTCGTGCTTGCTTCGAGCATGCTACATATATTAACGTACAGCAGAACCGGTGCAACGTACGAAAAATCCGTGTCAAACTTCACTGCGGTTGACACGGAGTTTGGTACGTAGTTCCGTGTAGCAGAACCTCTCTAATATCTCCGTGCCACCGCGGCATTAGCTCTCTCTCTCACTCATTGCCCGAAGGCATTCACACCCACCAAACTGTGCCACTGCGGCATTAGTTCTTTCTCTCTTTCTCTCTCTCTCTCTCTCTCATTGCCCGAAGGCATTCACACCCACCAAACTGTGCCACTGCGGCATTAGCTCTCTCTCTCTCATTGCCCGAAGACATTCACACCCACGAAATTGTGCCACTGTGGCATTAGCTCTCTCTCTCTCTCTAGCTCTCTCTCTCTCTCTCTCTCTCTCTCTCTCTCTCTCTCTCTCTCTCTTCATTGCCCGAAGGCATTCGCACCCTTCACACTTCTGAGCCGCACTGGGGCTTTCTTACACTTCACTGACAAGGGCAAAGTAAGAATAGGACACCAGATATACGGTAATCGGCTACACAACTATTTCATACTTTTCGGTGTTTGTCTCATTCATGCTCGTTATTCCTTATTCATGCTTCCGCAGGTACCCTTGTCTCATTCATGCTCGTTATTCCATATTCATGCTTTCGTAGGTACCCAACTATTTCACACTTTTTGGTGTTTGTCTCATTCATGCTCGTTATTCATTATTCATGCTTCCGCAGGTACCCTTGTCTCATTCATGCTCGTTATTCATTATTCATGCTTTCGTAGGTACCCATAACATACCTTATAATGGATTCTGTTTTTCATGTCCATGGATCATAGTGATGTTTCATCACTGGTTTAGCGGCAAAGCACCGAGAATTATGAGTAAATACATCCCTTGCACACAAATTGCATGACCCACCAGGCCCCTACATTATACTCATCCGCTTGTAAGAAGCTCGTTGCATGGCCTGACCATTCATTCAATGCAAAATGAATACCTTAAGCCCAAAACAGACATTGTTTATCATCATGTACACTTGCCTGATGGATAATTCAGCCCAGGTGGTATCTGAGGGGATTGATATGCCCTCGGCACAGGTGTGGCTGTAAAGCATCTCACTTGTCAGATTGCCGCTGTGGGCGATTCCAGCTTTTTCTTGGTGGCTGCCAAGAACTCGGCTAGCCTCCTCTGCTGCAATACCGCTACTGAGAATAGGAGGCGGCCACATCAAATCCATCCACTTCCGCGCCACTCAAATATTGCAGCATCTCTGCCATCATGGTTTGATCATTCTCCACGGCCTCCAGACTTAGATTGACGCCGGCTCTCACACTACGCCCGAACATCTTGCTGCTTGTGCAGAAGTTGCTTGCTGAGCGGTCGGGGTGTTGCCGCTACTTACTGGAACCCCGGAATTTTTTGTGAACATCTCTCCACTCATTCACGCGGCCAAAGAGCCCATGCAGGGGCAGCACTGTGAGGTACGTCCATTATTACCGTGATGTGAGATAACTCGCTGGCTAGTTGCTGCTGGCAACATGCGCAACTGAATGCAGTACGCGACATACGGGTACCGACCGACCGACAAAGCTGGCATATACGGATGACCACCAGCAGGAAAATTAGTGGCTGACTGGCTGTGAAGGGCGAATATGGGTGCCCAGCAACATACTGCATTGTGAACAATGTATGAGTGATTACTTATACATGGTCGATGGTTTTACATGTTGACTGACAAACAGCAACATTCACCAGGCCTGCAGCAGATGCCACAATGGTTGGCTGACCAGCTGCACTGGACGAATCATTTGGCAGATTCTCCGCAGATAATACTGTATGTGACGGACTAGAAGTAGTAGCAATGGCCAAATTTGGCATATTCGCAGCAGATGACACTGGATTTGGCTGATAAGACGCAGCAACAAAGTTGGCTGGACAGCATCAATGGACAAACTTGGCAGCCCCGCTGTAGATCACACTATTATTTGGATGAACACTCGCAGCAGGCCGGCCGTACGTAACAATGACATGCTTGGCCGGCAGTTGACGTCCAGGGATCTAGCTGTTCAGCAGCAGAGGTAAAAACGGCAGAAGCTGAAGAAAAACTAACCTGCCTACGCCCCGGCAGGGTGAATATTTGACTTGCCAACATAAAACAGCCAAGAAATCGTTCAATCACGTCTTCCCTCTGACCACCAGCATCGATTTTCTTTCCTGCTGTAAAGCTACAGTTGAAGCCCTGTTCTCGTCGAAAGAGCACTCTTCCATGATCATGTTAGACCCAAAATGTCATAGAACTCCAAGATACAAACTGCACCAACGAAAAGCCACTGCGAAGTGACCATGGTGACAGGAATGCGGTCCAGCACAACATTTTTGCGGACGCAAAAAGTTGTGGGGAAATCCCAAAATCGGTGCGATTTTGCATGAGCCCAAATGTTCAGGTTACCCACAAAGACACAAGCTTTCCAACTCTCTTTGGCCGTTGGAAAGCGTACCGTGTTTGATCCCCACACCGTACCGGAGCTCACGCTTTTCCGCCGATTTGACTTGACTGAGTCACAAAAATGCTATCCAGAGCACACGAGAAGTCTATAGAACCGTAGACTGGGCAAACCCCAGGCTCTACCAGTAGATCTACCACCTACGTACATGTAGTAGACGACCTGATGAGACTTGACAGGTCAGTAAAGAGGTGACATGACGCACGGCCTTGGCGACATCAGACTCAGTCAGAGATCTAGACAACAGCGCCAAAGTGCTTCCTTTTTGGATGCACATGTTCTTTTCTCCTACATGTATCTATCTGTTGTTGGCATTTTATCGCTCCACAGGTACCCTCGGTCTCAGGTGCTCTCACATTTGTGCAATTGTTGATTTTGGTCCTGAATTGTCCTCCCTGTTGCTTTGCTACCGTCCTCCTCCTTCCTCCACCTTTTTTTCTTAATTGGCCTCATTATGGCATTCGCTTCCATGTAATTGGGCTTGTAGCCCGTGTGTACTTGCGAATTCAAATAAAAATATACATACATACATATGGGAGTACATACATACATACATACATATCGGCGCACAGGAGTAACGATGATTCCGAGACCTTTGGCCGGAGGAGTTACTTTTGCCCCGCCCCCACTTCAATCCAATATGCCACCGCCCCCGCTGTGAAGCATCTGATGGTTCCGTGGTAATTCAGTAAAAAAAAAGTGCTGGCCTTGCTGATTCGATGGACCGAATGAAGTAGATCTGCAGTACAAATAATAATTCAATCACTATAAAAATAAATCAATGATTGTACAATCATGTATCCGGGTGGAGTCTACACTAATCACCATGTCCATGCCCTGAGGACCACGTCGTCCAGGTAGACAGGGTCAGGATACTTGTGTCAGCTGTGACAAGTCTGCCACAGGCCCACAGTCTACCAGTGCCAGGTCTACCATCCGCATGCTCCAGCTCATCAGGTCCCTAGGCCCTGCGCACGGGACTACAGAGTTCGCCCAGAAAAAAAGTGAGCTCTGATCTGCCGCCGTGCCGGGCCACCACTGCCTGGCACCAGTAATATCTTGACTCTTGTTTTCCAGGCACTTGTCGTCCCACGCAGTACAGACTCAGTACATGTAGTGTGTTCATTTGGTTTGATTACACGGCCGGGTAGTAATGGAACAGGAAGGTTGTGTGGTGTTTGAGCAGGTCATTTTGGATAGCGTTTTGTCACGAGCTCGTGCTAGTTCTGCGGGGAAGTGAAGACTCCTTGCGCGCGGCCATCGCCGGACCGCGGAGTAGGAGGACCCGCTATCCACTGCCAGCTGCATTGTGGAACTTCGGCAGGTAAAATTTACATTATTTTTTGTATTTCCTGAACATACGATGCAATCATGCCTGTACAGTGTATTCGGGAATACCACGGCTGTCAAGAAGCGGCAACTTAGAAAGATGGCGTCGGTTCGAGATGGCATGGTAACCGCGCACGTGCCGCGGTCCGTGACTTGCTCATGTATGCACGCAAATGCAAGTCACAAACTGACAAAGATCATCTTTGCATTTGGAGAAAATATCTTCGACTCTCTTTGGAGGTTGGCAAGGTTTGCCTAATCTTTACTTGATTGCGATGCCGGTATGTCCTCTCAATAATTAGAACAAAGAGAGCTGATGATCGCTTCAATGCTGAGCAGAAGTAACAATCAACTCTCCTCATGTCCTCAGTGCCAAAGGCAGACGACTGCAATTCCACAACGCTCATTTCACGATGATGGAAACAATAATCGTGTACGAGCACTAGTACACACTTGGACCATTTGGTCATCCCTATTCTAGCCGCTAGTCCGTCCAGCAACCAGATATTGACTATTACGATAAGTACAACTGCGTGAACGAGGGCTCACCCAGCAAATTCAATTCAAGATGTGACTCCAGTCAAGAATTAGGGTCTTTACTCGAGAACTTCACAAATACAAGTCAAGGCACCCCACAAAACTGATAGATGGCACGAACGAAAGACAAATAGGCTAGACAAAGTGTCCCAAGTGATTGAAAACAGCAGATCTACCAAATAAGACAGCTACATGTGCCTAAACATCGATTCCCATACAGTAGAGAGTAGTATCAGGCAGAATGAAAGCCTTGGAAGTGCACAAATACAGCCACGACCGCCACACAAATTGGACGACCGCCACAAAAAAATTCTCATTGCTCTACCTCCTTGAAGGGTGAAAGTTACCAGTTATCCTATAGCGATGTCAGTTTATGCCTGTTGGAACCCCCCACAGCCCGCACGAAATACCTTTCAAATAATTCCAGGATGCAATTGCAGCTCCAGACAGGAGGAAGAAGAACACCGTGAAAAATAACGGCAACGATGCCCAAACTCTCGGTAAACGGCTGAAGTCTTCCTGAAGATGTTAACATTGAATAGCCATCGATTACCAGCGTGGTTTGGTGACTTTAGAACTGTTTTGAGACTTAGAACGAAGCGATATCTCAAATTTGATGGAATTGTTACCTGTCAAATGCGTGGGCGAGCAGGCCAGCTGACTGGTTATGCATGAACATGCATGAGCATGCATTGATTTTTCATGGTTCACGTGCAGAAAACTAAGTTGCCGCGATCCAAGTGCAGCTAACAGCCGTGATACCTGCACTGTTACCCCACTGTATACTACATGTAGTATGATACATGTACAGTGTATTCGGGAATACCTGCACTGTTACCCCACTTTCAAACGACCCACGTGCCCTTTGCTAGGTTACGACCAATCAGCAGCCTCGGAGAGCGGGCTTTGATATTCCATCAAAGCCCGCTGTCATTGACAACCTGTACGAGAAAACCATCAAAGCCCGCTGCCGTTGGCAACTGTACGACAAAACCATCAAAGCCCTGATCATGCCCAATCTCAGTCTTTTCAAGGTGATCTGGCTATAAGAACAAGAAACCGATAGGGGTGGTGGTCGGGGATGCGGTGGCTCTCAACTGTTACTTGTGGAGTTGGAAATCTAGCTCCAGCACCGCAGAACTCTCAGCAGTATGCAGCGTGAGCAAGGCGTGTATGGTGGAAGTGAAAATACTTCCGTGACTCTTCAGCCACGTCTGGCTCTTGACACGGAGTCCTGAGAAATTTCTCACGAAACAGGTTTTACATTACTTTCCCTTTGCTGTAATCTCTGTGTGAAACTTACGAACGGGACGAAAACGACATGCACTTTAGGCTGCTCTGAAATCCCAAACGAAAGGCCGACATTGTCCACACTCGAGATGACCCAAAGAATGAAGCGAGTTTCATTCAAAATCCAAAAAAATGTTGGGGATCGTCTGAAGCATATTCAAGCGAGGTACAGTCGGGCTTGATGACTGATCAAAGCCCTCGGGCCCAGCCCTTGGGCCTACGGCCCTCGGGCTGGACCCTTGGGCTTTGATCAGCCATCAAGCCCTCTGTACCTCGCTTGATTATCTACGTATACTACATGTAGTATGATACATGTACAGTGTATTCGGGAATACCTGCTCTGTTACCCCACTGTATACTACATGTAGTATGATACATGTACAGTGTATTCGGGAATGCCTGTACTGTTACCCCACTGTATACTACATGTAGTATGATACATGTACAGTGTATTCGGGAATACCTGTACTGTTACCCCACTGTATACTACATGTAGTATGATACATGTACAGTGTATTCGGGAATACCTGTACTGTTACCCCACTGTATACTACATGTAGTATGATACATGTACAGTGTATTCGGGAATACCTGCACTGTTACCCCACTGTATACTACATGTAGTATGATACATGTACAGTGTATTCGGGAATGCCTGTACTGTTACCCCACTGTATACTACATGTAGTATGATACATGTACAGTGTATTCGGGAATACCTGCACTGTTACCCCACAGTACACTAGTAGGTAGAAACGTGACTGCGTAGGTCTACCCTCTTAGTAGACAACCTCGGATTCAGCATTTTCGTGTTTTAAGATTTTTTCTGCTGTTCTACAGTGCTGCTCAATGAAATCCAGTTGCGTCACTCTAGTCTGCGCCTTGCACCATGTCGCAGCCCAGTGTTTGCAGGTCTAAGGCTGCACAACGCCCGGCGCGTACTTGAGCGACGTGAATGGATTTCATTGAGCAACACTGTGCATCATAATTGAAAGCTCACGGCCCTACGCTATGCTTTTTCGCCTACCTGATCATGCATGTTATTAGATAACCAGATCCTAGATACTGTCAACGCATCTTTTCACAAAGTCGGCGAGTCTACTGACGGGATATTTGCTCCGTCGTTTCTTGCTGTCGGCGTAGCGTTTCGCAAGCACGTCAACTCTCGAGGCGGCTGGACCTCTCTTCTCCCATCTTTTAGTCTCTGTGTAGGCACTCCTGCCAACGCCGTCTGCTCAGAGCTTCAACACTGTCCCCCCTGTCATTTTGCTCTTCCTCACAGTACTCTGTTAATGATCTCAGCATTCTATTTGCACAAGAACCATGCCCATTAGAACACTAAAATCTACCCTATCCTTACCTTCCCGGCCCATTAGCAGCACAACCAAAAACATTCGAACGATAATGCGACACCGTCTAAAGTCTTTCTAAATCAAACCTGGAAAAATACAGTACTGCGATCAAAACCATACCGCTAATTATCTGACACACAATGCGACAAGGTCTTTTAAACAAATCCACAAAAATCAACAGGTTTTGTTAGCTAGCCACTGACCGCTATATCCTTTACCGACATTGTATTCTTGAACGCAATATTCCCAAGTTCTTTCTTTTACTTCTACTCCGCTCCATCAGCACTCGGCTGAAGGCAGGAGATTAACACCCACTGGCCTTCCCCAACATAACCTTGACTCCTACGGCACTCGAGATGCTCTGTCTAGATCTAAGCTGCGATACGCACTACATACTCATTTTACGGTACGGGACATTTACGGAATATCTCGCCAACCATGGCGCGTCATGTGAAAGGCCCCACCACACATACCTACACCGAATTAAAGCGTTGTGGACCCTGGCTAGCGACAGACGTTACTTAAGTAATGTCTATTGCATAGCTACGGGAATAAATCATACTCACACATACAGTATCTGGATTAGGAACGCTGTTTCCCCATTACAAGACGAAGTTTTACCCTGACCTCTGTACAAGATAACCCATTTTAAAACAATTTTCTATCGAATCCCTCCTATACAAGACAACATGAAACATCGATCGAGCTACAGTAGCTGGAAAGAAACAGAGAAATCGTGTTTTCAAACTTTCCGCCTGGCTGTTGGCAGCAAACATTGGGCCATTCGAGCAATATTGTAGTTGAGTAGGCGACGGGGAGACAATAACTTTATTAAGGCGATAAATAGTATAAGCGAAGCTTTTTGGCGATGCCAGTAGCTCCTCCATCATTGAGTTTCTTCCCAGCAGATATCACCTTTGCTTGGGAGATCGACAGGCGGAGTCCTTGGTCAGCCGATGTCAGCTGGGGGGGGGGGGGGGGGGGGGTCATCGCCACCCAACCGTGTTTCCACCCCAACATATAGCTGCTGCTGCATACTCTGCTCTCTATCACTTGGCCTTGCTGGATCTGCGCAGACGTTGGCATAAAGAGCGTGAGAAAAATGATGTATGATACAGGAAACAAGAAGTCAATTGGCTCTGCCCTCGCGATGTGGAGGACTTTTGCAAGTATTAGCAACTTGGCTGGCACTGCTGTTGCCAGAACAACACTATGAGACTGTGCTCTTACTATTAAATCGAAAACCCCTTCACATGCTCTAGGTCACTATTAGAGGCTTGGTCATTCTTATTCCGAATATCCCTTGCTCCGGGTCAACATAAGAGACTGGGCAATTCATTACGATGTCGTATTCTGACGTGGTGTATTTGGTGGGTATGTTTTGTGTTTGATGTGCCTTACAGTGATGGCAGCAGTGAACGTTTCCGAGCTCCTTCGGTACGCTAGCGAGGATAAAGTGAAGGATCTAAAAGCAGCAATAGTTAAGGGTGGTGTTCTCAAAAAGGAAATCAAACTCCAAGAGGATGCCAGGGGAGATCCATTGTTGGTATGCAGAACTTTAAAATGTGTTGACTTGGGCAAGAATGATCTTTGCATGAGCATGTGTTGCTGCATGAGTGTCAGCCTGTGTGTGTTTGTGTGCGTGTGTGTGTGTGTGTGTGTGTGTGTGTGTGCATTCGTGCGTGTGTGTATGTGTGTATGTGTGTGTATGTGTGTGTGTATATGTGTATGTACGCATATGTATGGTGCAGTGGTATGTGCAGTCGATTTCCAATCGAGAGGTTACGGGTTCAATTCCCGACGATCATGGTCATTGATGTGTATCTATATTCATTATGTCATATTTGTACTGCATGCACGCACACACACGGATTAGTTGAGTGTGCTTCTTTTTCCTGTTGTTCTTTCTCATGACATGTTTTGTTTCCGTTCCCAAGTCTTCACGAATAAATAGTAACGTATCATGGCGCAGTGAACTTGTTCTTTCCTGTGTCCGTGCCTTGTGTCCGCACCTTGTAGTGTTTGCACGGGCCCAGTTGTTTTTTCCGTATGAAGTAGTAGTTTCCGCGATCGAAACTCTGTCTCAGTTGAATTATTTTAGTAGTGTATTTGTTCGTACTCGTGGACGAGTGACTAATCGTAATGGAACAATCACAGGACGATACCGGATTTGACCTGTCCTCCGCGACCGAGCGACAGCAGGAATCTCAAATGGGTGTCCTGATGAAATTTATGGAGCAGCAGATGCGTGCAGCTGAGGCTCGTGATAAGGCGATGCAAGATCTGTTCAAGAATGTTCAGAGCAGGTCGCTATCACCATCGCAGCCTCAGTTCACTCCGCAGCCCTCAGCACCAGCTCAGTCCACCTCGCAGACCTCAGCACCACGGCCAGTGAACAGTGTTTCCTGCCCACACTTATTGTCGTCTGCGACGCTGGCTGATTTTCACTCCTTCGTTGAAAGCTGGAGAGATTTTAGTGTTTGCCAGCATTTGGCCAGCCAGGCTCGTGAGGCCAGAGTGGCAACACTCCGTCAGTGTTTCGATGAGGAGCTGCGACGTTTTATCCGAGAGGATATTATTTGCATACCAGCTTCAGCTGACGTCGACCTGATGCTGGAGCGCATTCAGGCGTATATCAGACGGCAACGTAATCCACTGTTGGACCGCATAGAATTTTACCAGCGTGTCCAGCAAGCTGGAGAATCATTTGATGCGTTTTACACAGCCCTGTGTGAACTACAAAGTGCATGCGACTTCTTGTCACACAGCCTATGTGGAACGTGTGATGCTCGCTGCTGTGCGCAGTGCAAAGGCCTCGGCCGTACCCTCAAGGAGGAATCTCTGCGCGACCGCGTCGTCATTGGTGTGCGGAACGATGAGACGCGACACAAGTTGCTCGCAACTCATGGTCTCACGCTCGACCAGGCTGTCACCCTCTGTCGGACGGAGGAAGCAGCATACCACACCAAGGCACACATGCCCAGTCCTGGCCTCCAGGCAAGTGCTGCCAAGCAGTCGGCATACAAGCAGCAGAAATGTCACAAGCCAGCTGACTCTAAGCCAAGTGAGACATCAAGTGTGGCCAAGTCCACTTGTCCAAATTGTGGTCGTTCTGACCACACGAAATCTGTATGTCCTGCCAAGGGCAAGAAGTGCAACTCCTGTCACGGCATTGGGCATTTTCAGCGAATGTGCAAGGGCCAGAAACAGCCGAAGACTAGCTCTGCTGCCAAGCTTGGACAGCTGAAGCTACAGCGTGCGTCTCGCGTGGACCGTCGCACAGTACCTGTTTCGACCATGCTGCAAACAGAGGATCAGCCATCCCAACTGTCCTGGACACCAGACACAGGCAGTGACGTTGATGCCATTGGCGAGGAGCACCTCACGCAGATCGGTGGGTTCGTCGAGAACTTAGATGACGACCACGACTGTGTGCAGGCTGTGACCGGTGAGCCGCTACGCAACCTGGGCAAAATACGTGCGACTCTACGAGTCGGTGAGACGCAGCATGAAACCGTCATCCATGTGTACAAGGGTCTACACGATGCCCTGCTCTCTCATACCTCATTGCGTGCGCTGAAGTTTCTCCCACCTGATTGGCCAGTCCAATTCACCGCTGAACACGAGGGTGCATCTTCACCCAAGATCTGTGCAGCTGTTTCGTCATGCGCTCATCCTAGTGATGCTGAGTTAGCGCGGACACGTGAGCAGCTCCTGCAAGAGTTCGCTGACGTTTTCTCGGATTCCGGTCTGAAGCCAATGGAAGGTCCGCCAATGGAAATTGAGCTACAGCATGATTCTAAGCCTTCCTGTGTGCACACTGCTCGACCAATACCGTATGCATTCCGTGACCAGATCAAGACTCAGCTCGACGGCATGGTCAGCGACGGGATTATTGAACCAGTGACGGAGCCCAGTGAATGGTGCCATCCGATTGTCATAGTAGACAAGAAGGGCAGCACTGAGAAGCGCCTCACAGTTGACTTCAAGCGGCTGAACGACCAAGTCCGTCGTCCCGCGCATCCCGTACATACGGCACGTGACGTTGTCTCTGGAGTTGGCTCTGCTAAGTTCTTTACGAAGCTCGATGCAAGGCACGGCTACTGGCAGATTCCTCTCAGTGACACTGCTCAGGAATTCACCACGTTTATCACCCCGTACGGCAGATATCGTTATCTACGGAACCCGCAGGGTCTAATATCTGCTGGGGATGAGTTCAACCGGCGCACTGATGCTGCGTTCTCTGCCATCCCGCGTCTCGGCAAGGTAGTCGATGATTGCCTAGCGTACGACGACGACTTTCTGTCGCATGTCAGCCACGTGCGCGAGATTCTGCTCTGCGCCAGGGAGCATGGTATCACGTTCAGCCCCGCCAAGTTTGTGTTCGGTACGCAACGTATCCATTTCTGCGGCTACAACGTCACGCCTGATGGCTGGGTCGTCGACGATGATAGGACGTCCGGTATTCGCCAGTTTCCAGTACCCGCCAACAGAACCGATCTCCGTTCGTTCCTCGGTCTAGTGAACCAATGTGGCGAGTTCACTCCACATCTAGCCGAGTTGACCAATCCTCTGCGTGGCCTGCTCAAGACCTCCCGTGAGTTCATGTGGGACGCTAGCCACACTGCAGCGTTTGAACGGACACAGGAAGCTCTCTTGTCTCCTCCGGTTCTCGCTTTCTATCAAGTTGGTCAAGACCTCCGGCTTGAAACCGATGCATCCGCTCTAAGAGGTCTCGGATTCGTGCTTTGGCAAAAGCAGAATGATCAGTGGCGTATTATTCAGTGTGGATCCCGCTACCTGTCTGATGCTGAAACACGTTATGCTGTCATCGAGTTGGAAATGCTCGCTGTAGTATGGGCCGTGCGCAAATGCCGCATCTACCTGTCTGGTGCGCCATTTGAAGTAGTCACCGACCACAAGCCCCTGATTCCGATCATCAACTCATATTCGTTGGATCAGATCGAGAACCCGCGTCTTCTACGATTACGCCTCAAGCTCCAAGCCTATCAGCTGCAGGCATCTTGGCGAAAAGGTTCTGAAAATGCCTTCGCCGATGCGCTGTCCCGGAATCCTGTTGGCATTCCTTCCACCACTGATGAGCTTGGTGAAGCCCCGTCGCTTCATTGCCGCAGCATTCAGATCTGCATGGTGCACTCGGACACTGAGCCGAATGCGAATCTCAAGGTTGCAGAGCTGCGCGAAGCTGCAGCTGCAGATGCCACGTACCAGTCATTGATTGAGTGTATCTTGACTGGATTCCCTGATCGCCAGCAGAAGTTGCCTGCTCCGTTACGTGCGTACTGGAATGGACGTGAGCATCTCTCCGTCGACCATGGCATTGTGTTGAAGGGCAACCGCATTGTTGTTCCTGAATCATTGCGTGCTCAGGTATTGCACAACCTCCACGCTTCACACCAAGGCCTAGTGCGTACTAAGTCTCGTGCGCGTCAGCTTGTATACTGGTCCGGTATCACCAAGGACATTGATACACTCGTTCGTTCTTGTCCTGCTTGCCGCGAACACCAGTCGTCCCAGCCAGCTGAGCCCCTGCTGAACGACCGCACCCCGACACTACCGTTTGAATGTGCATCTGCCGATTTGTTCACTTGTCAAGGTCACGACTTCCTTGTGTATGCAGATCGTTTGACCGGTTGGCCCTGTGTCGCGCGTACTGGCCGCACCACCTCATCGCATGACGTGATACTAGCATTCCGTCGCTGGTTCTCTGATGTTGGTGTTCCTGCTGTGCTGTGTACAGATGGTGGGCCCCAGTTCTCCTCGCATAAGTTTGCTGAGTTTTGTAAGCGCTGGCAGGTAAACCATGTCATGTCCTCTCCCCACTACCCGCAGAGTAATGGGCACGCCGAAGCTGCTGTCAAAGCCATGAAGCGTCTTATCACCAAGACAACCGTGAATGGCAATCTTGACACAGATGACTTCCGCCGAGGGCTACTGGAATGGCGAAACACACCTGGCTCCTCTGGTCAGAGCCCCGCTGAGCTCCTATATGGCCGCTCTCTCCAGTCATTCGTCATTGCACATTGGAAGGAGTTTGATTCATCCTGGCTCTCCAAAGCAACGACACGTGATGAGACTGCCATGCCATCCGACGATTCCGTCACAGACAAGTCGTCAACTCGTCGCTCGTTGCCGCAGCTCCGCCTCGGCACCCACGTGGATGTGCAGCATCCGCGCACCAAGCAGTGGTCTATTCGTGGGGTCATTGTTGCTGTCGGTAATCATCGGGACTACCTAGTGAAGTTGCCGAGTGGTCGCATTTATTGGCGGAACCGCAGATTCCTGCGTCCGTATCGCCCACTTGTGCCTGCACCGCTTGTTGTCCAACCGGCTGCTGCTGACGCCTCTTCCCCGCCGCCGCCGTCCCGCCGCAGCGCACGTCAGCGCAAGCCACCCCAGCGTTTAAACATTGGTTCGCATCATGGACAGTCCTATGATTGACACTCTTGATCACTAATGTCAATTTCTGCTGTCTCTGCTTTGTTGTTTTCATTCTTCATTTTGTTTTATTTATGATAGATGTTGCTGTCACAGGTTTCGCAACATCTCGAAGGGGCGTGATGTGTATCTATATTCATTACGTCATAGTTGTACTGCATGCACGCACACACACGGATTAGTTGAGTGTGCTTCTTTTTCCTGTTGTTCTTTCTCATGACATGTTTTGTTTCCGTTCCCAAGTCTTCACGAATAAATAGTAACGTATCAGTCATACATGTCTTTCTTCTTTTTATCCTTCTCCTTGCTCTTCTTTCATTCTCCTGGGTGGCTACCAACAGGCAGTGCAAGCCAGAGTATGTGGTGTGGTGTGCAAAAAGAGAAAAGAAAACCCCCCTGAAAAACTGGAAAATAGTGATTCACTGGCCAGAGAAAGCTTCAACTAGCTGTGTGGTGTAGACCAGGCTACAATTAGTGGCGGTAAATTCATCAGCATGCAAGAGTAGATAGCCCTCAAGAGTATAATTATAATGCAAGAGTACATAAACCCTGCATAACCTCTATACTGTGCTGCGACGGCAGAACTTCACATCACGTGACATGGACCGAATGGTTATTCTGGCAAACAGTGCAAAGTGACTACAAGAAAGTTGAACCCAAAGCAGGGTTGCGTACAACCCTGTATCTATCATGCACAGGGTGCAAATAATGTGTCTGGGTTCGTCACGTGATGTGAAGTTCCGCCGTCGCAGATCCCGTAGTTGGGGTTGCACACTCTTGGAGGGTTATGCACTCTTGATGCGTGGCATGCCAAATGCGGCTAGTTCTTGTGTCACATGTGTTGTACCTGCTGCTTTGTTTGTGTCACTTCGTTGTACATGCTACTGCACCGTCTTGAGCTGTGTGTTCTAAAGGATAATGTGTTGTTTTTGCAGTTACATGTTGCTAGTCCTCATGCGTGTGTTAGTTGTACCATGTGACGTGTTCTCCTGCCTTTTTTCTTTTTCATCCGCTGAGTAAATGTGCCGTTTTAGTCCCCTGTTTCCATCCTTTTCATTCTCACTTCGCAAAGTGTTAGATTAAATCTTTTACAAATTTGTTGTCTTTATATTTGTAGTCTTTGAAATATTTCAACATCACCTATATTGCCCTGTAAGGAAGGGAACAAAAACGTTTGGCAATTTTACACGTTCGGATCATCCTTCTGCCTGGCTATGCTGCGTTGGCGCATTCGTGAATTGACACGAGGGAATGTGTATGTGTTTAGATTATGTCCCTTATCCGGACATTCTCCTCCACCAACCCCCCTGAAGACAGCCCAAGGTGTGCGGGTAATAGATGACTTGCACAAAGATCCGAGCCGCGAGTGAGACGGGGCAAGTGCACCCTGTGCACCCAGGCTACACTGCGGGCACCCTACACCAGTGGCAGTGTACACCGTCTGTAGACTAGTGTAGTGTACAAGTACTTTTTTTGTCAGCATGAATGAACGGTGCACGGCATGTACATGTACATGATCAGTACCGTCACTGTCTTCAGCAGCTCATGAGTCATGCATGTGCACTTGTACGTAGGGTTAGTGGAAGCAGGTATTGTACTACTCCCTGAGTGGAAGTACATGTACATGACTGTATTATTATGTGAAGAGAAGCCAGGCGTCCAAATCAACCCAAAATACTCTTGCCTTATTCTTCGGTGAAATAGATAAAAAAATTGTCTTACTAAACAACAGTGAGCATAGAAGCAACCTCGATGCACCCAATAATATGGCATCCGGGAACAGCAAGTGTGGCACGAGGATCCCAAGAACACGTCAAGTTCCATGCTACCCGCCGCCATCAAAAGAACGAAGGATAACTGTGCTAGCCTAGTTCATATTCAATGTAACGCTAACGGTACGGGATATAGGAGCCTGTTGGGAAGGCGTGGGTGAGCTGTAAAATCTTGTACGGTTCGCACAGCACAACATACATGCAGCAGTTATTGCGACGGTTAACGTCGATGGACGAGAGTCATAAAGTCCATGGGGGTTGACGTTTCTGGGCTTCCTTTCCGAAAGGAAAGTTTTATTTCTTCTCAAAAAAGCAGAATCATGCTAATTATACCAATCTGTTATGAAGACAAGGAAGCAGCCATGGACATTGTGCCATACTAAAGGAACGACAGGAAAAGATAAAGCACTTCATCTGAAAACTCAAGGACTATCCATAAATACAGCAAATGATAATCCTAGCCTGGTAATGTCCAACTCCGTCATGTGAGCCATTCGGTGAGTTATTATGAGAAGCATAATGTTCGAAATGCTGAAATCTGAACAGTTGCAGTTGTGTTCGTCGCCACACAATGCCATCGCCAGTTCACATTCGAAATGTAGCCATTTTTACGCTTGTGTCCCTGTACACGGCATGGAAGGCTGAACAGATTCAACTCTTCCATCGCTTCCTGATCTGTACAGTAGTGCGGTTGCGTTCCCGTTCCTGACACTCACATCCATCTCCGCTAACCAGCATCATGAGCACTCCAATGGTTCCCGCCGCTCCTTCCGTATCGTCCCAGCGCGCCCCGTCAAAATGTGAATTACTGTAGGCAACGGAGCCAGTGTATGATGAAGGTGAATGCACTGTTTGATGATGCTCCAACAAATCCTTTCTGAGACTGAGACCCAGTCGGAGCCGCATCGTCGTCATTACCAGCTAATCATGGGGAGGTATAATGTGACTTTCCACCACTCCCTGATTCAATCATAGTTTGCGAGCCTGCGCCAAACTGCTTTCTCACTAGAGCCAGGCATTGGATACATATGGCTTCAGTAAGGTTTACAATGCTATGTCTCTGGCCTAAGTCCAAGTCTAGATACAGCTGCTCAGAGTCAGGGCTGATGAAATGTTCATATCGGAACAAGTGAGACTTCAACAGTAGCTAGTACACATTAGGCCTGAGGACTTCGCAGCGGTTCTCCAGCACACTTGTTCTCTCCTTCAACTCAGATACTACTTGAAGTACTACTAAAGGCCATCTGGCTCTCACACTCAGTCCTTCCACCCCTCATTTTCGTGGTTTGGGCTTCCACTCGTGACTCGGCAGGTTCCTGGCCTCTCCGCAGTCTGTCCTCAGGAGAGAGTCGCTCTGGATCTAGTGCAGCCGAATCGAAGGGAATCGAGTTCTTTCTCAGACGTCCACAAACTTTCGTTGTGCTTGACTTCGCTTCCACTACGGGAAAGTAGTCACACTTCAGGACCACGACGTGCTTGTTGCAGCCTACACCAATGATACTAAAAATATTCCCTTATTTTTCTGCCTCCCGGCCGGCCGGCTCGGAAAGGAACGTATGGAATGGGGGCGTCAGTTCCATCTCTCGTCTGCTAGTGCATTCAGGAGCGTAGCAGCGCTTCGGCATGACGATACAAGCCGAATCAAAACAACTCTACTCTCTAGCCAAAAAAACTAGCTCAGTGTTCTTCAGGCAAAAAGCGAAACTTCGAAAGTCACGAACTCAAAAGGTGGGGAAGTCAGAGTCAGAAGGTCCACTTGCCCCGTCTCGAACCCAGACAATCTTTGTGCAAGTCATCTATTGGCACTCTACTGTATTGCCCTTTAAAATAAATTTTGCCATTTGGTATGCTGCATTGTTTCATGACGAGCATACGGGAATCTTGTTTTTAGTAGAGAAAGAGCGAATTGTTTAGTGCTCTCTGCTCTGTTTGTTATTTAGTGCACAGTGTTCTACTGTGCTGTGTTCTATTTTCTTGCAGGCAAAGTTGCTGAGGAGTGCCTGCAGAAGAAATGCTACTTCTGTTGTCAAGTTCCTGGTAAACATTGTTGGCAGGAACGTGCTGAACGGTGCAGGGGAGGTCAGTTGGCCTTGGTAATTAGCAGTTAGGAACTCAGCTGAGTCAAACTGGACTCATCCTGTCAAGTTTGGCATAATACAAGAAGTACGCTATCCCTAAACAGTTGTGTGGTTATTGTGGGAGTGAATATGCAGGAGTCCGCGGTCACATGAGGGGGGAGTAATAGAAGTTTTCTTTTGTTTATTACTGCTTATACTAATTGCTGTATCACAGGATGAAAGGACACCACTTCACTATGCCACTATTGGGAACAAGGCCGACTGCGTTCTGCGTCTACTGCATGCCGGAGCTAACCCAGATCAACCCGATAAAGTAGGTGTGGTGATATTATAGCACCTTTCCCTGCATGGGCCTTGGCACTCAGGCTGCTAGTGCTACTGTTCGCACCCTAGGCCCTGCACTGCTGTACCTCTGGCGCCTTGCGCATAACACATTCACATGTCACCTTTCAAGCCGCCTTTGCAGCCAGCTTCCCTTTAAAAGCTATTGCGTTTTACTGATGATTCATTCTCATCTTTCGAAGAGTTGGTCTGCCTTGAGCAGGACACAACATGGCGCAGCGAAAGACAAGGCCAGGGCTGAGGAGGCAGCAGCAACCAACGACAGGGTGACAGATCGGATGCAGCCAGGGACTCAAGAAGAAGGAAGCCTGCTGCAGTCTATCGTCCAATCCCTCAGCCAGCAGCAGCAGATTCTGCTTAGGCTCACAATGGCGCAGTCAAGCCAGCCTGCCGCAGGCGCACGCAGCGGCCCGCCACCATCAACCTCAAGACAGCCAGAGGCAGGGCCGTGGGCCCGGAGAGCGGAAATACCTCACCTGCCCAGTCCAGACTCGATAGACCTAGCTGGTTTCCTCGAGTGGAAAGTCAAGTGGTCCGACTACGTGTCGTTGACTGGGCTATGCAGAGACGCAGGTACAGTTACGCAGCAGGCAGTTCTCCGTACAGCTCTGAACGACGGTTGGGTGCGGCTGTGGCAGGCGGGCGTAGTTCCCATAGCCGGCGGCGATGATGAGCGGGTTGCCGTCCAGAAGCTGGAAGCTTTCCAGAGAAAACGAAGAAACCCGTTACTCGACCGCCAGGCCTTTCATGGCAGGAGCCAGAGACAAGGTGAGAGTATCAGCCAGTACTTCTCGGGTCTGTCTCAGCTGCATGATGCGTGCAGCTACCCAGATAGTCTGCAGTGCGGCAGATGCGGGTCACTGTGCGGCCATGAAGCCCAACTTCGGGAAACCCGGCTCTGCGACAGGCTCGTCTGTCGCCTAAGGGATTGAGCGATGCAACGACGGGTGCTCGAAGAAGAGTATGCCAGTGAGTTATCGCTCGATCGGGTCATGCAGATATGCTCTGCATACGAATCTTCTACCCATACGGAATGTGGCCTCGGTGAGCAGCTGCCCGACCTGGCGTTGGCGGCGGCAGCGAAGTCCACTTACAAGCGTGCGCAGGCAAAGACGCTGAAGTCGGACGTAGACACGTGCAGGTTTTGTGGGGAGACTCACCCCAAGGGCCAATGCAAGGCCTATAACCAGACATGCCGCTTGTGCCTCAAGGTGGGTCACTTTGCTAGGGTTTGTCGACAGCGGACCTCGCCCTCGCCAGGAACGACGTCTGTCGACTCGCTGTTTGTCAACCAGGCTGGTCCTTCTAGGAACAAGCTGGTGACGGTTGGCGTCGCGATCCAGGGAGGATCGTCATGCGCTATTGGGTGGCTGCCGGACACGGGCACGGATGTGGACGCCATCAGTCTGACCGACATGGATGGTATCGACCCAAGCCTCAGGATGAATCTAGTGCCGGACACAGCTGATGTTAAGGCAGCTAACGGTACAGCTTTGGATTCCATGGGCAAGCTCGAGGCTCAGTTGTCTTTGAGCGACACTACTGCCGTGTCGACTCTGCACGTATTCCGGCGGCTGAAGACACCCCTGCTCAGCAAGGACACGTGCATGAAGTTGCGGCTTCTCGAGGATGGATGGCCTCACTCCCGTCTAAGGGCACAAAGGGTGGCAAACATCTCCATCCCTCGGAAGCAAGCATCCGAAGTGCGTCAACGGCGGCGGAGGAAATCCGACGTACCTTGCTGGAAGAGTTTCCAGAAGTATTCTGTGATACCCCGCTCAAGCCCATGAGCGGTGAGCCGATGCGCATCGAGCTAGTCAACGGCGCGTCGCCTGTATTGCGCTCGCTCCATCCCATTCAGGTGGCGGGACGCTGTGCAGAACCAGCTGTCCGACATGGTGGGCAAGGGCGTCATTGAGAAGGTGCCTGTCGGCGAAGCATACACTTGGTGCCACCCACTGGTGGTGGTCCCTAAGAAGAATTCCAGTGAGCCGCGCATCACGGTGGACCTGACGGGTCTAAATAAATGGGTCAAGAGGCCGGCATACCCAACCCGAGTACCTCGGGTGGTCGTCGCGTCGATCCCAATGGGGATGCAGTACTTCACCACCTTAGATTCTCGCCATGGCTACTGGCAGGCACCCCTCGACGACGATAGCACCAGGCTCACAACGTTCATGACGCCATGGGGTGCCTACCGTTTCAAGTGGAACGTCATGGGCTTGGTGTCGGCAGGTGACGAACACAACCGGAGAGGAGACGAAGTGTTCGCCGGGTTTTTGAATCTTCAGAAATTGGTAGAGGATGTCATCGTGTACGACACTGAGCTTGAGGCAGGGTTCGCAATGTGCTCAAGCTTTGCTCGGAGAACCAAATCACACTGAACCGCCGCAAATTCGTCTTTGCGGCACCCAGAGCATCGTACTGCGGATTCATGGTGACGCCGGACGGCTACAGTCCTGATCGTAGCTTAGTGGAGGATCTACACAACTTTCCGATCCCCACCAACCGCACTGATATCCGATCCTTCTGTGGACTCGTGCAGCAGTTCGACGCGTTCGCGCCGCGCCTAGCGGAGCTTCTGTCCCCGATCCGCTCTCTGCTCTCTCCAAAGAATGAGTTCGTCTGGGAAGATCCGCGGCAGCAGGCGTTTACAGCTATACTAGAGGAGCTGGTAAGCCCTCGAGTGTTGGCTACCTTCGACCCAGCGCAGCCGCTTCGTCTCGAGAAAGACGCCTCGCAGTCAAACGGTCTCGGCATGGCACTGTGGCAGCAACAAGTGGACGGGCGGTGGTGTCTAGTGCAATGTGCTTCACGACACGTCACTGAGACCGAGGCCAGGTACTCTGCAACGGAGATTGAACTGCTGGCGGTAGTCTGGGCAGTCCACACGGCTAGACTGTTTCTGGCCGGTGCTGATTTTGAGCTGCTAGTCGATCACAAGCCGCTCATTCCTATCCTGAATGCTAAGACGCTGGATGAGTTGACGTCTCCACGAATCGTGCGACTACGGGAGAAGCTGACGCCTTTTCGGTTCGTGGCCCAGTGGAGACCGGGTGCCGATCACAAGGTCGCAGATTGCCTGTCCAGACACCCAGTAAGTGCACCAGACCCTGACGATGAAGCTGGTGAGGAAGAAATCGAGCACTGCTACTGTGTTCTCCGTCAGCTGTCGCAAGAGGACGAGGAAACAGGCCATACAGTCCTCCCCGACCTTGGCATTACGAAGGTGCGGGCGGAGGGCTCGACGGACCCGGAATACCTCAAGCTGCTGAACGCCGTAAAGAACGGCTTTCCGGTGGACAAGGCTGCTCTGGACCTCGATCTGCACCCGTACTGGCAGGTTCGGCATGATCTGTCGGTCGAGGACGGCATAGTGTTGTTGGGCCACCGTATTGTCGTTCCCAGAAGGTTACGCCAGACCACGCTGGAGCAACTTCACGCTTCTCATCAGAGACAGACCCAGGCAAGGGCCAGGCAAGCAGTGTACTGGCCCCGGATCTCCAATGACGTTAAGAACGTCGTCCAGACCTGCAGATCCTGCGTCACGCTGCTCCCCTCCCAACCTTCTGAGCCGCTCCTCTCTGACAGTCGTCCGTCCAGACCTTTCGAAGATGCAGCGGCGGACCTCTTCTCCCTAGGCGGCTTTGAGTACCTGGTTCTCACCGACAAGTTTTCCGGCTGGCCATTTGTTGGGCGTTGTGGGCGGTCGGCTACCACGTCTGACGTCACCAAACATCTCGTTCAGTGGATGTCGGACGTTGGCGTTCCTACGCGCCTCACGACGGATGGTGGGCCGCAATTCAGATCTTCAGCGTTCGCTTCGTTCTGCTCAGAGTGGAACATTTGCCACGACCCCAGCAGCCCGTACAATCCTCAGTGAAATGGCGCGGCTGAGGCGGCAGTCAATGCCATGAAGCACTTGTAAATGAAAATTGGCAAATGTGACGCTTATACCAGCAGTGCCTTCAGAGAAGGGTTGCTGGAGTGGCGTAACACGCCGGGTGCAGGAGGAGCAAGCCCGGCCCAGCTGCTGTTTGGAAGGCCAACAAGGACCAAGGTTCCCACACTTCCTGCAAATCTGCAGCACTACGCTGCCCACAGCCGCAGCGCTCCCCAGCAGGTCTCATCCCAGCTTGGCAAACCTCTGCCCCCTCTGCACGTAGGCGATAAGGTATGGATCCAGAACCAGTCTTCAAAACGCTGGGATATGGAAGGAACGGTCACAAAATGCACGAGAAGAGGACGGAGCTACACGGTGCAGACGGTGACGGGGTCCAGCTTCTGGCGGAACAGACGGTTCCTCCGGCCACGTGCATAGATTGACTGGGCATGCTTCTCTCGCTTTTTCCTTGTTGCTTGTGCCCTACGCTGTGATTTTCGAATTTCAGTTTCAGGATTTTCTTTGTGTTAGTGCTCCCAAGTCGCACTTAAGCCGAGGGGGCATGTGGTGATATTATAACACCTTTCCCTGCATGGGTCTTGGCACTCGGGCTGCTAGTGCTACTGTTCGCACCCTAGGCCCTGCACTGCTGTACCTCTGGCGCCTTGCGCATAACACATTCACATGTCACCTTTCAAGCCGCCTTTGCAGCCAGCTTCCCTTTAAAAGCCATTGCGTTTTACTGATGATTCATTCTCATCTTTCGAAGAGTTGGTCTGCCTTGAGCAGGACACAACAGTAGGTTATGGAGACATTTCAATATACTATAGTACTCCGATAATAAATTTCTTGGAAACTCACTGTATGAAGAAAACAAAGAGTATGTTGGCAAACTGCTGGAAAAGTGCTCAATGCGCCGGATACAGAGCTTTTTTTCCCAATGATTATTCCCTAGGTTTTAATGCCAGTTTTCTTATGACTGTTTCGGCATCAAAACTAAGTCACAACAGATCCCAATTGGATCCTTCTCCTCTCCCTTCATTAAAAACTGTTATGTGATGGAATCACTATGTGCCCCAACTCTGAGTGCCATGCTGCTGGTGTCATGAATGTGGTTTGTCGGAGAGCACATTTTGTGTTGGGTTTGGAAGTATTCTGGAATCGACAGGCTCAAAGGTGCAACTCGCCCTCGTTCTAATTATGTAGAATCATCTCTCATATTGAGCCATGTTCTTTGTTGGCTACTTATTAAACATGCACTTGTGTTATAGCGGGGAAAGGCACCACTTCACCATGCCGTTGCGCGGGGCCATATCGACTGTATGCGACATCTACTGGACACCAAAGCCAATCCAAACCAACCTGACAAGGTATGTCATATCTCATGAAGCATGACCAAGGAAAACAGTTAGGGGAAGTGCATCGATTTTTCGAGTAGGGTCCAGAAGAAAGACAATTTGATATCGATTCGAATGGCATATCTCTCGCTTCCATACGATAAGCCAAACTTGCCAAATCGCCAATTGTATGCTCACGTTGCCATAGCGACCAGCGCAGTGATGACGTATGAAAGGCTTAGCTCCAGCACAGAGAAGGTCGATCACTGCAGAAATTGGTCATTTTCAATTGTCGTATTGTATTCACGATGTGAAAGAAGTGCTGTGGTCAATGCTGTTAGTGCCGTGAACTATTTGTCGCCCTTCTCATGCATTTCCCTAGGCTGACTGTGCCTAGGAAATGGTTTCCTCCAGGACAAGGTGCTTGGAATTCGCCGTCTCTCCTGAGACATTTTCAGCAAACTTTCAAACCTACGACATTGTTAGATAATCACGACCGCCCCAACTCACTCCCGGACACGCACTCACAACAACGTCCACAACGAGTTCTTTGGCGAACAGTGTTCATATAATTATTGGAGAAGAAGCAGAGAATGTGGGAGAGCGAAAAACACAAGTTTGTTCCACGGCCAACTCTAAAACTAACTGGAACTGATGTAGTTCTTCGTTGTACGCACTGTACGCATGAGAGCACGCCAGTTGCATGCCAGCGCGCAAGCGAGCAATAGATGAACATGAAACGGACACCAGAAGTAAAAGGATCTGGCGGTGACACAAAGTCAAAGGGAATGTATTACATGTCGATAGACCATCAATGAGCCATAGCAGCCGGCGGGTGCAACAAGGAATGTAAGATAGAAGTTAGAGCAACGAATACCATGCATACTCTCACATCACCCCTTAGTGACTCATGTCACTACCGAATAGCTACAACATAATCATGAATATCGAGCAGGTCGCACGAGCGTAGACCGGTCGCGCAATGATGGGCCTGCAGCAGGCGGCGGCGTGACCGGGTCAACGCTCAATACCAGAGACGGAACAGGGCCCGACTCGGCTTCATCGCTGGCACCCGGAGCGACGGGCGGCGGGGGCGGCAGATCATCCTCGGCGGCACGCCTTAATAAGTCGACATTCACGATCTTGTCACGGCCGGTGCCATCGACCCGATGAACCACCACCGTCGAGGGGCCCACGATCGACATAACTTGCCAACCAGGCTCGTACGGGGTTAGGCGCTTCTGGCAGCGCTGAGGCCGGCGAAGCATGACAGCATCGCCAACAGTCAAGCGGCTCGGTGTCGGCTCGTCGATGAAGTCGAAGCGGCCGAGCGCAGACTCAATGTAGTCTCGCATCGCCGCTGCCCGCTGCTGGAGGTCGTCTACCCATGAGCCAGCTGAATACGAGTGCTGAGGCCGATCCACGACCAAGCCACGGGGATGCCAACCTACCATGGCCTCCATCGGGGAGACGTTGGTGGCGCTGTGTGGCCGGATCCGATAGTAGTACAGGAGCATCGCCAGCTCCTGTTCCCAGTCGTGCGCCTCATCCAGAACCTTCCGCACGAGGGTCAACAGGGTTTGGTTGAACCTCTCAGCCACGCCTTGCGACTGGGGATGACGTGCCGCGCCGTAGCAGACATGAACGCCGAACGCCTCGTAGACGGAAGACATGACAGCGTTCTTGAACTCTGTGCCGTTGTCGGATCGAACCACGCGAGGAGGACCCCACCGAGAGCACACGTCGACGAAAGCTCTAGCCACACAGATGCCGTCATGACGCTTGAGGGGAACCACCTCGACCCACTTGGTGAATGCATCCACGCATACCAACACGCAGTGGTAACGCCCGGACCGGTTAACGCCGAGCTCGAGGGTATCGATGTGCACCACATCCCAGGGGCCGTTGGCTGATACCGGACGAGTGGGCTCGGTCGCCTCTCCGCGGCGTGGGTTGGCGGCTTGACAGCTGCTGCATCCGGACACAAACGCTTGGCAGCGCTGTCCCATGCCCAAGAAATGGCACTGGGATCGAAGCAACTGCCACGTCGCCTCCCAGCCACTATGGCCAGACACCTGGTGGGCTGCACGCACGGCCCGCTCCTCCAGCGCAGCAGGAAGCACAGGAACGCACTTGACGTCGTTCGGCGGAAGCTTGACGCTGCGCTGTAAGACGCCGTCTTGAACTTGCAGCTGACCGCGGATGTTCCGGAAGCCGCTGTCAGGCGGGAGGTCGTCCCCAGCGATCACTGCGGCCTTCACTGCCTGGAGTGCACCATCGTCCTCCTGCCCGGCCAGGATCTCGGCCATCGACAGACTCGGCATGATGGCGAGGCTGGCAGCAACATCCGTCACGCTGTTATCCGATGTGCAGGCCAGCCAGGACGTCGGAACGCGCGTGAGCTGGTCGGAGAGGTTCTGTTCTGACGGAACCCAGTCCACCTCCACGTCAAGGCGAGCTGTTGCGACGATGTCGTCAATGATCTGCAACCGACGCTTGACGAGCAGCTCGTGGAGCCCGCCAACCTTCACGCGGCGCTCGTTCCCGAGGATCTGACGAAGCCAGCCATGCACGGTCTTGGAATCCGTGTGGAGGCGGATCTTCCGCGCAGGCCAATTGGCAGCCGCGTTGAGGCCCTTGATGACGGCGTCCAACTCAGCGATGTTGATATGCCGTTTGTCGTCAGCCGGGCGCAGCCAGCTGCGGTCCTCGATGACCTCGCCGTTGACTTGCACCACGACACCCAGCGCGATTCCCGACGCATCGCACCACACGTGCCACTCCGTTGCGTCGTCATGCTGCACCGACCATACGCCACGCACCGGATCGTGCTCGTTGACTTGGGTCTGGATGTCGCGGCAGAGCTGCAGCAGACGAGGTGGCACAGCGATATCCCAGCCGACGGATTCGCCGATCATCCGCTTCAGCCAATTCGTCGTCGGTCGCAGCCACGCACAGACGGGGTAATGGCTGACGAGCTTGCCACACCAGCTGAACACGGCGCGCTTGGTGGGCGCCTCCGGTAGCTGCAGGCAGACGTCACGGCGACGTTGCCAGTTGATCGTGCCGTCTTGAGTCAAGAGCTGGAGGCCCAGCACCCGAGCAGTAGGGAGCTTCTCGGCAGGCTTGCACTTCAGGCCGTAGCGCTCGAGCTGCTGGGTCGTGGCCACCACTTGGGAGTCCGGCACACGCAAGTCGTCGACATAGTTGTCCACGCCGTCGAGATCTTTGGTCACCCACTTCACGACCATGTCGAGGATCTTCGGCGCGACGTTGAGGCCGAACCCCATGCGCGTCATGGCAAACAACTCTCCTTGCCACACGATCGCTTGATAGCGGTACAGACGGGGAGCCATCCGGATCTGGAGGTACGCCTTGCTCAGATCAAGGAGGGCACTATCACCGTCCCCGAGTCGCCACTCGCGCAGCTTCTGGCCGCAAGCCGGCGCATCCAGGCCTGGGTGCGACACGAGACACTCATTCAGAGCGCGGTAGTCTAAGCACGGCCGCACGGGAGTTGACGCCTTGTGAGCCTGGTCGACAGCCATCAGTGGAAGAACACAGGCCGGTTCACCGAACGCTTCACGGTCGTACGGGACCAGCCAGCCGTTCTCGCGCCACATCTGGACCTCCTTGACGAACTGCTGCTCTTGCTCTGGGTTGAGTTTCTTGCGCGGATATTCTCCAACACCAGAACCAAGAGGAAGAGACGGCTCCGTGTCGGCTTTCCATCGCCAGGTGGCTTCCCAGAAGCCTAGGTCGTCGCGCCAGGTTGCCTCAATGTCGTCCATCCGCAGCGTGACCTGACCATCGCCGTCGCTTACCGAGATATGCCGTGACAGCTTCTCTGTGGCAGCCGCCACGCCGGCCGAGGCGACGTCACGTGCGGGGCCGAATACAACAGACGATAACTGGCCTTCCGGCTGATCATGGGAGATGCTGACACCACCAACTTGGGACACGATGTCCGATCCGATCACGATATCGGTGTTGAGGGCGTCAAGGTTCGGCACGACGAGCAACGAAACCTTGATCGTCGGTAGGTAGACCGAGCCATCCTCGCGCTTCAGCGTCATGTCCACGCTGCCGGTGACGTCCAAGGGTGTGCCGTCCGCCGTGATCAGCCGGTCGCTGGTCTCCTTCAGGCTGGACTGCATACCCAGCTGCTGGACAACTGGCCACTCGATCAGGGACCGAGTGCAACCCGTGTCGACAACCGACGCTTGGCGGCTCCAATGCGCGTTTTCGACCTGCACCTCCACTGCAACTCGAATCAGCTGCGACGAAGGCCGGGGCATAGCCAGGCAGAAATCCGTCCGCGGGTGCGACGCTGCCGGGGCTGGTGCTGTGGCGGCCACACGTCCAGAATCTGACCTCTGAGGACAGTCTTTCCTCAGGTGGCCCACCTGATGACAGCGATAGCACGTGGGTTCACTCCTCTTGGCTGGAGCATCCGTGGTCGTCCTTGGCCAAGTCGACTGTGGGGGCCCACCACCGCCACCTCGCTGTCCACTGCCACCGCGCTGTCCACCGCCACAGCGCTGCTGATTCGGGCAGCTACGGCGCATGTGACCCACTTGGCCACAGCCATAGCACATCAGCGACTGACTCTGGGGCGGGGGACCAGATCGGGCTGCAGCCACCGCCTGAGCGACCCCTGCCGCTGACTGCATCATCCTCACCTGTCCAGTCAGCTCCGCGACGGTAAGGCTCTTCATGGCGTTGGCCAGCCGGACGGTTTTCCCATGCTCGTGTGGTAGACCGCTGATCAACTGCTCCACGAGCAACGGGTCTTTCCCATCCGCAGCAACCTTGTGGCCTGACAATGTCAGCAGGCGCGTCAGGTCTGCTACGTAGGCGTCGACAGGCTCATCCAGGGCCAGCTGCCGCCCTACGAATAGATGGTAGGACTCCGCCGGGCTGGGCGCGAACGCTGCCTCCAAAGCAGCCTTCACCGCCGCGGTCTTCTTCCGATCCTCTGCGGACAACTGGTCAAACACCAGGAACGCCGGACCATCCAGCAACAATGGCAGATGCGCCATCTGTTTTTCCTCCGAGTCCCATTTGTGCAGTTCTCCAAGGACCAGGAACTTAGACCAAAACGCAGCAAGGTCATCACCTTTTCCACGAAACGGCCGAACAAAACTATCAAACTTCAACGTCGACATCGTATTGCACACTGCTACTCCACCAAACCGGGTTTCGGCACCAAGCTGTTAGATAATCACGACCGCCCCAACTCACTCCCGGACACGCACTCACAACAACGTCCACAACGAGTTCTTTGGCGAACAGTGTTCATATAATTATTGGAGAAGAAGCAGAGAATGTGGGAGAGCGAAAAACACAAGTTTGTTCCACGGCCAACTCTAAAACTAACTGGAACTGATGTAGTTCTTCGTTGTACGCACTGTACGCATGAGAGCACGCCAGTTGCATGCCAGCGCGCAAGCGAGCAATAGATGAACATGAAACGGACACCAGAAGTAAAAGGATCTGGCGGTGACACAAAGTCAAAGGGAATGTATTACATGTCGATAGACCATCAATGAGCCATAGTAGCCGGCGGGTGCAACAAGGAATGTAAGATAGAAGTTAGAGCAACGAATACCATGCATACTCTCACAACATTATTTCATTCGTCAATCTCCACCACCCGTCGTCTCACCTTGCTTCAGAAGATGTTACGAGAGATAGGAGAGTCGCCAGGAAGCATCACATTCATCTTTCAATTTTGGTGATCAAAACATGTCCGATTATGAAAGTTGAAGAACATGTGTTCTACCTAGTATTGTGATATGTAGTGTAGAGACTATGTAATACATACAATATAGTGGACACACAAGTACATGTGACTGAGAACTTCTCTTTGTTTGATTTGAAAAATATACTGCAGTAATCACACTATCAGAGTGATACACCAGTTTTCCCCTGAGTGCTGCAAGTCAGAAGAACTTTTCTTTCACTTATCACTGTTTGTACCTATCGCTGTATCACAGGATGAAAGGACACCACTTTACTATGCCACTATTGGGAACAAGGCTGACTGCGTTCTGCATCTACTGCAAGCTGGAGCTCATCCTGATCAGCCCGATGAAGTAGGTTATGGAGACATTTTAATAATACTATATTATTCTGATAATAAATTTCTTGGAAACTCACTGTATGAAGAAAACAAAGAGTATGTTGGCAACATGCTGGAAAAGTGCTCAATGCGCCGGGTACAGAACTTTTTTCCCAATGATTATTCCCTAAGTTTTAATGCCAGTTTTCTCATGACTGTTTCGGCATCAAAATTAAGTCACAACAGATCCCAATTGGATCCTTCTCTTCTCCCTTCATCAAAAACTGTTATGTGATGGAATCACTATGTGCCCTAACTCTGAGTGTCATGCTGCTGGTGTCATGAATGTGGTTTTTCGGAGAGCACATTTGGTGTTGGGTTTGGAAGTATTCTGGAATCGACAGGCTCTAAACTGTAACTGGCCCTCCTTCATATCAATGTATCCCCCACCGATGAACATGTGGAACACAATAATTATGTAGAATCATCTCTCATATTGAGCCATTCTCTTTGTTGGCTACTTGCTAAACATGCACTTGTGTTATAGCGGGGAAAGGCACCACTTCACTATGCCATTGAGATGGGTCACATCGACTGCATGCGGTATCTACTGGACAGCAATGCCAATCCAAACCAACCTGACCTAGTAAGTTGCATCTCATGAATCATTTAAATAAGCAAAACAGTGAAACTGTTACCCTGTGTTGCAATGGCCTTACCCACTGCACAATATACACAGGAACACTGGGATGTAAAGGAGAGCTATGAGATGAACTAATTCATTTTTGCTGATCCAAACATATCCGATTATGAAAGTTGAAGAACATGTGTTCTACCTAGTATTGTGAGAGGTAGTGTATGTGGCATGTGGCATGTGGCATGTGGCATTTAATGCGTACAGTCACCTCTCATAGTCAGCCATGTTCTTTGTTGGTTACTTGCTGAACTTGCACGTGTGTTATAGTCGGGAAAGACACCACTTCACTATACCACTGATTTGGGTCACATGGACTTAATGCAGCATCTACTACTGGACAGGGAAGCCAATCCAAACCTACCTGACAAGGTACGTCACATCTCATTAAGCATTAACAACTGAAATTAGTTGTGAAACTGCTACCCTGTGCTGCAATGGTCTTACCCACTGCACAATTCTCCAAAGGAACATTGAGATGTGAAGGGTAACTTGAACCAATTCATTTTTAATCTCGTGAATACGTGGTTCGGAGACAGTAGCATCAAAGTGGCAAAATGATAGCATATCGTGCATGAACCATTGCTTATCTGTGGGCCAAGGTGACAAACTGGCATGAAACATCATCAGAGAGACACATCGGGAGGAAAGGAGAGAGAGACAGAGACAGAGACAGTGACAGAGACAGAGAGAGAGAGAGAGGCAGAGAGAGACAGAGACAGAGAGAGATAGAGGCGGGGCTTGTTTCCTAGAGGTGGGTGACTGCTGAAAGGTTTAAGGAGTTTTGTTTGTTTGTGTGTTTGAAGATATATTTTACATCGCCAACCAAACGGTCATATATGCCCAATATTATGATGGCGATAGAATATAAAAAGAAATGTAGCTCGAAAAAGCTGTACTCGAGAATATAAGACAGTAGTCAATGGGAAATATATGTACCGTTAGCCCCATCCCTCACACAAACAAGTCAACAAAGAGGCATCTTTGGATTGAGGAGTGCTGGTTTCGAAACAACTGGTTTTAAGCTCAAAGTAGAGCTGCTGTTAGCTCAGAGCAGAGCTGCAGTTAGCTCAGAGCAGAGCTGCTGTTAGCTCAGAGCAGAGCTGCTGTTAGCTCAAAGTAGAGTGCGGTTAGCTCAAAGTAGAGCTGCTGTTAGCTCAAAGTAGAGCTGCGGTTAGCTCAAAGTAGAGCTGCGGTTAGCTCAAAGTAGAGCTGCTGTTAGCTCAAAGTAGAACTGCGATTAGCTCAAAGTAGAGCTGCTGTTAGCTCAAAGTAGAGCTGCTGTTAGCTCAAGGTAGAGCTGCTGTTAGCTCAAAGTAGAGCTGCTGTTAGCTCAAAGTAGAACTGCTGTTAGCTCAACGTAGAGCTGCAATGCTAAATGGATGTAATATAGCGCAAGGCAGAGCCGCAGCAAATAGCTAGATAACACCAGTTGTGAGAGTGGACCCGATCAGTGGGTACGATAATTATAATGACGGTTTGAATAAGTTGGATAGGAAGGGATGGTGGGAAAAGAAACACTGCTGAAGCACGATCCGTTGTCTGGAAGAGCACAACAGGGCAAGCAAGATTTCTTTTTCTTTTTAGCACAACGGTCTGGTGCCATTTGTGATTACGCAGCAAAACAAAGCGCATAACGACAATCTTGAATGCAGTACAAAGCAATGCAGTGCAGTGTGTGCGCTAGTTCGGATTGTTGCTAACAAGTACTAGCACAGCTAGTACACCAGTAATTACGGTAATTATGATGCTCTACCACTTAGTTATGGTGTGGTTGAATCACAAGATGTTGACATTAATTAGTGAGGTCGCCTGCAGAGCACTCCTCGGTGGGACGCTCAGGTCTCCAGCACAGTACGTAAAACTTCCCAGAAGCTAACCACCCTGAGAACCATCAGCCCGTCACTATCTGAACAACAGTCCCTCCTCTTCTATTCTGCTCTTATACATCCTGACGTGCTTTATGGATTATACGTGTTCTTCTCTGCACTCACGGCTCAGCAGCGGCAGCAGCTCACTGTTCTTGACAAGCGATGTGTTCGCTGCATAGCCAATCTGCCCTTCCCGTCCCATACCACTCCTATATACACTCGCCGGCTTTCCCTGATCCCTGTAATTGAAAGTGCCAAATGAAAACTCTGTTTCCTTATGCACCGTGTCCACACCAGCAGCATCAGCCCTCTTCTGAAAGATGGAGTAACCCTCCAACCTCCCAGTAACACCCGTGAATTATATCTACTGTTGATGCTCAGCATAAACTGAAATTTGACTCCATGCTCATGAAATATTTCTCACAGGCACTAGATTGGCGATATCCAAATCGGCTTAGCAATATTAAACTCCTGCCAATGCCTTTTATCTCTTGCGCTGCCTCGAGACATTATATGATCGATTCACCATAACCTGATGGTGGCTTGCCTTATAGTATCAGCTACCTCTCACTCATTTTAATTCTCCTTACTTATGCACACGCTTGCTTTGCTATAGTTAGCGCTAGCCACAATAGAAAGGTTCAGCATCACATAATTACGTTAGTAAAAAACGTAGTCGATCTACGGAAAGTCTTACGTAAACTGCATGCGGATCTGTGTTTTCGCCATACGTAGTTTTCAGATCACGTAGCTGCCCTTGGCAACTCGAAATGCGGCAGTGTACGACCGGATCGACCTGGGGAGAGAGTCATAAATTTGTACCCCAATTCCACTTACGGAGCACATACGTTATCAGAGCCCTATCTACGTACTCTACATGACAATTTTCCGTAAGTGGAGTGCAAACTCGCGAATTCACGGGTTTTCCCGCCCACTAACGTAAAGTTGCTCAACTTTATGTAGTCCGGAACCTCTCCAATGGGGGCCACTTACATTACTGGCCATTCAGGGCTCTAAGTCCCCATGCCTCGAAACTGACTCCCATCTTGGCTTGGCCAAGACTCGGTCTGCCTTGGCTGTGACTACCCGCCCGGCACCTTCGATCTCTCTCTCTCTCCCTCCCTCCCTCCCTGCCTCCCTCCCTCCCTCCCACCCTCCCTCCCTCCCTCCCTCCCCCCCCCCCCCTCTCTCTCTCTCTCTCTCTCTCTCTCAGCCTCAAGCAGTGTGTTGGAAGTCAATGTGTGTTTGTATTCGTGTGAATGGTAATTTTGGTCTTTGTGCACTTTGTGGTGGGTCTGATCTCCTCACGTCCTACTGCCTTAGGAGCTGCATGTGCTCATTGATCTCTTGAGGGTAGCAGCGTTCGTATTCATGCAGAAAACTCAGTTTGATAGAGTCTCACACAAACCGTTTCTTTTTGTCTTACAACCGTATTTTACGTGAAATATCTTGTTAAAACGGAATACTGTTCCATCATTTTTAGTGTTCCTTTTTTTTAAACATGTGCCCTGTTCCAGAATGGCGACACGCCATTGGACTTTGCGGTGAAGCAGAATAGACAGAATGTTGTGAAGTATCTAATCTCCTACGTACTGCGTAAAACAACAAAGGATCAGGTAAGACACGAGCGCTTTTATAGTCACTTCTGCTTTCGCAATTATCAGTGGAAGGCTGCAGATAGAAATATTCCAGCATGTGTCTGTGCGGGTGCGTGTGCATGTGAGTGGTGTGGTGGGTTTAGGTGTGGGTGTGTGTGTGTGGGTGGGTGTGGGTGTGGGTGTGAGTTTGTGTGCCAAATGCTTCGGTTGGTGGGTATAGTTATTGCAAACTAGTGTTGAGTCTGGTGCCAACAGACTTGACTCCTTGAAGGTGTATTGTTGTACCTGCCACCTTGGTGAGTTTCAGGATTCGTATACTTTCTATTTGAAGTATACACGGACTGGTACGACCTCTCAGCTGAACGTGGCGAGTGGATCCAGTCCATCTCGGATGCCATTGTTGCACGGCGCTTGCAACTTGATACCACAGTCAAGTTGTACAGTCTGTGAGTGACTTTTGCCAGTCAGTGCGGACTTCGTTGGCACAAATGCGGGAAGAGCGTCTGAAGCCCATCTGTGAACAATTGGGTGTTGTGTGTTGTTATACGCGTCATCGTTGGTTTGCCAGCCGAGGTGGACTTGAATTGCACAATTGTTCTCCCAGCTTTGGTGAGGCTCCAGTTTCCAAGACAGATTGCACCTTGCCCACCTGATTGCAGCCAATGTCAGCTCAACTGCCACACCTGCAATCGTTGTTTCCGGAGCAAAGCGGGGCACCGCCGGCACAACTCTAACCGAAGATCATGCAGTTCTTTTTCTGAACGCCGCACAATCTTGTGCCTGACCTGTTCTCTGAAGTTCACATGTCCCCGGTACCTGGCTCTACACAAAATGCAAGAAGTAACTCTGGTCCCCTTGCCTTCGAGACACTGCTTCACCTTTAGTTGGCAGTTTCAAGGTTGAAGGTGTGTATGTGTGTACATGTATGTGTGTGTGTGTGTGTGTGTGTGTGTGTGTGTGTGTGTGTGTGTGTGTGTGTGTGTGTGTGTGTGTGTGTGTGTGTGTGTGTGTGTGTGTGTGTGTGTGTGTGTGTGTGTGTGTGTGTGTGTGTGTGTGTGTGTGTGTGTGTGTGTGTGTGTGTGTGTGTGTGTGTGTGTGTGTGTGTGTGTGTGTGTGTGTGTGTGTGTGTGTGTGTGTGTGTGTGTGTGTGTGTGTGTGTGTGTGTGTGTGTGTGTGTGTGTGTGTGTGTGTGTGTGTGTGTGTGTGTGTGTGTGTGTGTGTGTGTGTGTGTGTGTGTGTGTGTGTGTGTGTGTGTGTGTGTGTGTGTGTGTGTGTGTGTGTGTGTGTGTGTGTGTGTGTGTGTGTGTGAGTGTGTGTGTGTGAGTGAGCGCCACGAATCTTTCTGCCGGTTGCCGCCGAATTAGTCCTTTCGCTATAATTGCCTATGGCAATGGGCAAGTTCTACGTTCAATGTGTGTGTTCACGTGTGTATGTGTTCACATGTGTGTGTGTTCACATATATGTGTGTGTGTGTGTGTGTTTTATGTGTGTTTATGTGTGTGTGTGTGTGTGTGTGTGTGTGTGTGTGTGTGTGTGTGTGTGTGTGTGTGTGTGTGTGTGTGTGTGTGTGTGTATGCATGTGTGTGTGTCCCATATGGTGCAGTGGTTTGTGCAGTCGATTTCCAATCGAGAGGTTGCGGGTTCAATTCCCGACGATTATGGTCGCACACGTCTTTCTTCTCTTTCTCGGACTCTTCCTGGCTTTTCTTTCATTCTCCTGGGTAGTTACCAACAGCCAGTGTATGCCGGAGTATGTGGTGTGGTGTGTGTGTAGAAAAAAAATGGAAAAATGAAAAATAGGGATTCACTGACCAGAAAAAGTCACTTCAAACAGCTGTGTGGTGGATACCAGGCTAAAAATAGTGGCGGTCAATTCATCAGCCTTGCAAGCTGTTGAATGGTGTAATCCCAGCCCAAGTTGCTATGTCTAACATAGCTGTTCGCTATCATCGCTTCCGCGATGGGCACGTCTGATGTCTGAGGTGTGTGTGTGTGTGTGTGTGTGTGTGTGTGTGTGTGTGTGTGTGTGTGTGTGTGTGTGTGTGTGCGCACCGAAGGAATTGCTGTTCGGCGAGCTGCCTGCCCCCCGTCCTCGTCACGGCCCGAAGAAGAGGTGGCGAGATGTGGTGTCCACTGACCTGGCGGACCTCGGCGTGACCACCTGGCTTGAGAGTTGCCTAGATCGTCCCGGCTGGAGACGAGTTGCGAGTAGCACTCTACCGCCACGGCCCGCTCCTGATCCTCTTCTATGTGTCTGTGGACGCCCGTTTCGTCGACCAGGAGACCTGAAACGACATGCCAAGTTCTGCGCTCGTGTCCTCACTCGAACTTTCCGACATTCGCTATCATTGCGTACGCAATGGGCAAGATCAAGGTTAAGGTCAAGGTGTGTGTGTGTGTGTGTGTGTGTGTGTGTGTGTGTGTGTGTTTGTGCCAGCTAGTTCGGTTGGTAGGTACACTTATGCCTGATTGTGTTGGGTCTGTTGCCAACTGGCTCGGCTGCTTGAAGGTGTAATGTTGCACCTGCCACCTTTGTTGGTTCCAGGGTTCATATACTTTCTATTTGAAGTACAGTTAAACCTGTGACTACCGACCACCTCTTGGTGCCAGCAAAAGCGGTCTTTAGTAGCAGGTGGTCTTTAGTTAGAGGTTTGCACCGTGCGACCATATATGGATCCCATTATATGATAATGTAAATCAAAAATGCAGCTAATACAATTCCCCAGGACTTGCGCAATGCCATTCTTATTTCAGGTCAAACAACACTTGGAGAGAAAGACGGACAGATGGAGAGAGACAACAAGAGAGAGAGAGAGAGAGAGAGAGAGAGAGAGAAGATTATTTTTTTTGCAGACATTAAATTCAGCTGCTACTTCTGAAGCCAGGAGTCAAATGTTCCCTGTGGAAGTTTCGTTTTGCGCTGGGCTTCAATTTTGTTCATGCGATCAATCGTACCGACTATCCTTGTTGTGACTTCTCGATTGTTTGAACGCGATCCTTCAGCATCAGGACCTTGCGGTGCTGCTTTGTTCCTGGATTCCTTGACGCCATCGTCGATTCATTTGTATGATTGGGGTGACAGAGCCGCTCAGTCTTCGTTTCTCCTCCGAGTAGTAACGTCGAGCAGAGAGCGCTTTCGATGCGCTCTCCAAACCGTTTCCGATCATGTTTATTCTTGACAGCGCTTGAAATTCTGACAGGTGTAGTGCAGTCCACACCGACTGCACAGTCAAAATGGCCTGCGTTCATTTGTTCAGCTGTAGTACCGAAAGATTCCTTTCAGGATTATGGAAAATCAGCAAAATATCAAGAAGGAGCTTCGAGCAACATTTGATTTCCTACATCGCGGTCGCTAGTTACGGGTCAAAAATCGTCTTTGGGACAAGAAAAGGCGGTCGCTGGTCGCGTTCAGCAGGTAGTCGCTAGTCACAGTGCATTTTGAATGGGAGATCGTCCGTGCCTGGCCAAGTGGTCTGTAGTACCAGGCTGGTCGCTAGTCACGGTGGTCTGTAGTACCAGGCTGGTCGCTAGTCACGGTGGTCTGTAGTAGCAGGCTGGTCGCTAGTCACGGTGGTCTGTAGTACCAGGCTGGTCGCTAGTCACGGTGGTCTGTAGTAGCAGGCTGGTCGCTAGTCACGGTGGTCTGTAGTACCAGGCTGGTCGCTAGTCACGGTGGTCTGTAGTACCAGGCTGGTCGCTAGTCACGGTGGTCTGTAGTACCAGGCTGGTCGCTAGTCACGGTGGTCTGTAGTAGCAGGCTGGTCGCTAGTCACGGTGGTCTGTAGTAGCAGGCTGGTCGCTAGTCACGGTGGTCTGTAGTAGCAGGCTGGTCGCTAGTCACGGTGGTCTGTAGTACCAGGCTGGTCGCTAGTCACGGTGGTCTGTAGTAGCAGGCTGGTCGCTAGTCACGGTGGTCTGTAGTACCAGGCTGGTCGCTAGTCACGGTGGTCTGTAGTACCAGGCTGGTCGCTAGTCACGGTGGTCTGTAGTACCAGGCTGGTCGCTAGTCACGGTGGTCTGTAGTACCAGGCTGGTCGCTAGTCACGGTGGTCTGTAGTACCAGGCTGGTCGCTAGTCACGGTGGTCTGTAGTACCAGGCTGGTCGCTAGTCACGGTGGTCTGTAGTACCAGGCTGGTCGCTAGTCACGGTGGTCTGTAGTACCAGGCTGGTCGCTAGTCACGGTGGTCTGTAGTACCAGGCTGGTCGCTAGTCACGGTGGTCTGTAGTACCAGGCTGGTCGCTAGTCACGGTGGTCTGTAGTACCAGGCTGGTCGCTAGTCACGGTGGTCTGTAGTACCAGGCTGGTCACTAGTCACGGTGGTCTGTAGTACCAGGCTGGTCGCTAGTCACGGTGGTCTGTAGTACCAGGCTGGTCGCTAGTCACGGTGGTCTGTAGTACCAGGCTGGTCGCTAGTCACGGTGGTCTGTAGTACCAGGCTGGTCGCTAGTCACGGTGGTCTGTAGTACCAGGCTGGTCGCTAGTCACGGTGGTCTGTAGTACCAGGCTGGTCGCTAGTCACGGTGGTCTGTAGTACCAGGCTGGTCGCTAGTCACGGTGGTCTGTAGTACCAGGCTGGTCGCTAGTCACGGTGGTCTGTAGTACCAGGCTGGTCGCTAGTCACGGTGGTCTGTAGCACCAGGCTGGTCGCTAGTCACGGTGGTCTGTAGTACCAGGCTGGTTGCTAGTCACGGTGGTCTGTAGCACCAGGCTGGTCGCTAGTCACGGTGGTCTGTAGTACCAGGCTGGTCGCTAGTCACGGTGGTCTGTAGTACCAGGCTGGTCGCTAGTCACGGTGGTCTGTAGTACCAGGCTGGTCGCTAGTCACGTTGGTCTGTAGTACCAGGCTAGTCGCTAGTCACGGTGGTCTGTAGTACCAGGCTGGTCGCTAGTCACGATGGTCTGTAGTACCAGGCTGGTCGCTAGTCACGGTGGTCTGTAGTACCAGGCTGGTCGCTAGTCACGGTGGTCTGTAGTAGCAGGCTGGTCGCTAGTCACGGTGGTCTGTAGTAGCAGGCTGGTCGCTAGTCACGGTGGTCTGTAGTACCAGGCTGGTCGCTAGTCACGGTGGTCTGTAGTACCAGGCTGGTCGCTAGTCACGGTGGTCTGTAGTACCAGGCTGGTCGCTAGTCACGGTGGTCTGTAGTACCAGGCTGGTCGCTAGTCACGGTGGTCTGTAGTACCAGGCTGGTCGCTAGTCACGGTGGTCTGTAGTACCAGGCTGGTCGCTAGTCACGGTGGTCTGTAGTACCAGGCTGGTCGCTAGTCACGGTGGTCTGTAGTACCAGGCTGGTCGCTAGTCACGGTGGTCTGTAGTACCAGGCTGGTCGCTAGTCACGGTGGTCTGTAGTACCAGGCTGGTCGCTAGTCACGGTGGTCTGTAGTACCAGGCTGGTCGCTAGTCACGGTGGTCTGTAGTACCAGGCTGGTCGCTAGTCACGGTGGTCTGTAGTACCAGGCTGGTCGCTAGTCACGGTGGTGTTTATTTACAGGTTTTACTGTATACATACCTGTTAACCATGGACTGCTTCTGGCTAGATTAAACTCTTGCGTAATCAATGGTGCTAGTGAAGCTTGTATCAGATCCACTCTGATTTAGCCACCCACACTAGTAGCAAGTATTACCTTCACTGGGGGCAGGGGTAACTGCAGTTGGATCCCGGGACGGATACCCTGATGCCGTCAATCCTTTTTCTGCACCTTGTCCTCACCCACTTCCTGAGGTGTGGTGAGCCCATAAGTGGGATCATTATCAAGTCCACCCAGAGTTTTGGGGATTTCAGGGGGTGTCGGCCGTTGGGCGGTTCAATAGCCAATTGAGTAATCTTTCCAAGATTCCTTTTGAGTCTCTCTCCCCTCTCCCGGGGAGACCCGCACGACCAGTTTTGGCAGAGAGCAACAAGTACAAGTACAAGTGTGTGTGTGTGTGTGTGTGTGTTTGTGTGTGCCAGTGTGTGTGTGTGTGTGTGTGTGTGTGTGTGTGTGTGTGTGTGTGTGTGTGTGTGTGTGTGTGTGTGTGTGTGTGTGTGTGTGTGTGCGTGTGTGCGTGTGTGGGTGTGTGCTGGATGCATGTGTGTGTGTTTGTATGTGTGTGTACATGTGTGTACGTGTGTGTTCTTGCATGTGTGTGGGTGTCGGTGTCGGTGTGAGTGCGGGTGTGGGCGTGTGCGTGTATCTAATATGCCCAGTGTCGGACGTTACTTGTACAAGCTTACATCAAGTCTGGTGAAGGTTGCCTACCAGTACTACAGGTACAGTGACCTTGTGTAATTCCCATGCCGCTTGACACTGCATAGAGATCCACACTGGTTAGGTAGGGACCTGATATTGGGCAGGGTCATGTCATATTTTGGATGGAGGGTACCAGAACATAATAGTTGAAAAAGAAGGAACAAAAATGTACACACATAGTAGTAAGGGATAGAGTATCTCCTAATCCCCCCTCCCCCTCCCCCCAACCTCCCTCCGGGCCACCAAGACCGCGCAATAATTCCATCATCCTTCTAGTTGCCCCTCTCCCCCTACAGACCCAACCCTACCGCACCTCGCCCTTAACTGGATGTATATTCTTCATAACAGGCGTGTATCCTGAGGAGGAATTCTTGGCCTTTTTCTGTCATAGGACGGCATCATGGATTGCCTAGTTGGTGTGCACATTAGTCAAGAAGACATGGATGCTTGGACTGAGTTACTCGGAAGACAATCTGAACGTCAAACTTGGATGCTCGCCCAGGTAAGTGAGTGATTCATTGTATTCACACTCACCAAAGTCAGTTTGACTGGTGTACGTACAGCGCACCTATAATTATTCCATTGTCCCCATTGATCGGCAACAACTTCCTTTTCTCTTCCATTTTTATCACAACACTTTGTTATAGCCCATGACTTTCCTAAAAAAATACTGTAATGCGACACCTGGTGAGTGCATGAAATGTTCCCACAAGGGAGATGGTGAAATTTCAGAAGATGATTCAATAACAGGTGCATTTCTCTACCTGCATTTGTGTTCTGCGACATGTGTGTGTGTGTGTGTGTTCATGTCTATGTGTATGTGTGAATGTGTGTGTGTGTGTGTGCGCGCGTGCATGCGCGTGTGCGTTCATGCGTACGTGCGTATGTGTGTGTGTGTGTGTGTGTGTGTGTGTGTGTGTGTGTGTGTGTGTGTGTGCGTGTGTGTGTGCGTGCGTGCATGTGTGTGTAATGGAACTCAGAGAGCTATTACCATTCGGAAAGAACTACCTCCACCGCTTCTGGTGAGTTCAGGGCCAATGTTGTGAGTAGTGACAGTACTCCCACTCCCTCTGTAACCCACATAGTTTCTGGACGTCATTGAGGTGCATTTCCTTTCTTGATCCATGTAGTAACAGAAAGAGAAGGGGAGACAGAGCCACAGGTGTAGAGAGGGAAAGCAAAAGAGAGGAAAGAAGAGATATAGAGACAGACAGACACACACACACACACACACACACACAGACAGACACCTTTGGACCTTTGGAAAGCCCTTCGCCGAAGGCGATGATAGCTATTAGGCGAGGCAGTAGTTCTTGTGTCGGGATAAATCATTCGGTCGGCGAAAGTCGCGGCCGCAGACACAGACGAATACTCTTGGTTGGGGCTGGCTTGGTGGCTTCTGACGGCTACGCTCGCGCCAGTCCCTCTGGTCCTGGGCAAGGTTGTACCATTACGCCTCCGGGATACCGGTCGCACGCAAGTCTGAAGTTACCACATCTCTCCAAGGACGCTTGGGTCCATGGCGGGGCCGCGTGTTAGTGCCCTCCGCAAACAGGATCTGCTTTGGCAACCTGGTGTCGTCCATCCTTGCGAGGTGACCAAACCATCGCAGGCGATTTGCACGAATGGACTCCTCCAGCGAGGCTGGCATGCTGCTGCGCTTCGCCAGGTCTTCACTTGACAGATGTTCCTGCCACTGCTGGTCTCGAGTAACACTCAGAATCGTGCGAACACACTGCCGATGGAACGTGTCCAACCTGCGCAGGAGGGGTGCCTTCAGCGTCCATGTCTCAGAACCATACAGCAGCACTGAAAGGATCACGGCCTGGTAGACGTGACGTCTGATTCCAAGCCATAGACCAGAGTTCCGGAAAATTGGTTGGAGGAGGCTACCAAACGCCCTCGATGCCTTGGCAAGACGAGTAGTGACTTTGGCATCCAGCTCTGCATCGTCGCTGATCGTACTGCCGAGGTAGGTAAATTCGCTGACCACGCCGATCACGTCACCAGCACTACCAGGCACCACAATATCAGCACGGATGACACTCGGACCGACCGCCAAGAACGTCGTCTTCTGCACTGTTTTCGTGAGATCCTAGTGCCCCGTGGCACAACCCTCGTCACAGACACAAGCTCCTAATTCTCTTGTTGGTTAGAAGGTGTTCTTTATTGATCTGTCCCTGTTCTCGGGAGTTGTGTGATTATAGGAAAAAAAGGTGTGCAACGTGAGTCGGACATGTATGGAAAAGTGTTGTATCGTGCTCTTTACAGTGGGTGCCCAATCGGGCAAAGCACAAACGAAAAGGGTGCCGTGAGTCAGTGCTGTCATGCAGCAACATTCTCCCCCCTGGTTACGAACCGTGGGAGAGTTAACATAAACATGCAAAAAAGAACAGAAGAAAAGCGAAGAAGACTGTATTAAAACCTAGCAACCATCGTGTTATTCGAGTAGAAATAAGGTTGGACGGTCCATGGACGCACGAAACAAGAAAAAGGAAAACAAGAAAAAAAGAGAAAAAAACAGCGCAGCTAGCTGCAGCTCAGAAGTGCGGGAGGCATGACAGCTCTACGAACGCACGTCCAGTACACAAATTTTCGCGGCGGGTCGGCGAAAAACGCTACCTGATGCGGTCTTGACGTCGACAACACGGACAACACCATCGCGGCCTGGATGGACAGCTGAGACGACACCTTTGAGCCAGGAACCCCGTGGTGCGTTGTCATCCGCGATAATGACAATGTCGTTTACGACGAGCTGCTTCGTTTGGCGGTTCCACTTTGTGCGGTGAGCGAGAGTTGGTAGGTACTCGCGAACCCAACGGCGCCAGAACATATCTGCAAGGGCTTGCGCAACGCGCCATTGGCGCCGCAGCGAGACATCTCCTGCCTGCGCGATTCCTTGAAGAATGGCACACGAGGAACCGATCAGGAAGTGGTTCGGAGTCAAGGCCTCGTCGTCGGCGGCATCCAGACTGACATGTGTGAGAGGTCGACTGTTCACGAGTGCCTCTGCTTCTGCCAGTGCGGTCAGGAGGGTCTCCTCCTTGGGATGGCACTCTTTGAGGATGGCGTGAAGTGCGGTCTTGATGGATCCAACGAGCCGCTCCCAGGCTCCACCCATGTGGGGTGCCGCCGGCGGGTTGAACGACCATGTAATGCCGTCATGAGAAATCTGGTCCTGGATGCGAGCTTCATTCAGCTCACGAATGGCCTGGCGGAGCTCTTTGGCGGCGCCTTTGAAGTTAGTTCCGTTGTCTGAGTGGATCACCAGTGGACAGCCTCGCCTGCTGATGAATCGCCGGATGGCCATTAGCGTTGAGTCTGTGGACAGGTCGTGCGCCAGCTCCACATGAACGGCTCGGGTGGCGAGACAAGTGAAGAGAGCGCCGTACCGCTTCTCATGTCTGCGCCCAACAGTGACAGACAGCGGGCCGAAGTAGTCCAGTCCTGTCCGTGTGAAGGGTCGCTGAAAGGCGTCAGTGCGGCACTCTGGCAGGGCCGACATGATTGGTGGCTGCGGCTTGGCGCGGAGATTCTTGCAATGCTGGCACTCGCTCCAGGTGCTTCTTACCGCTGTGCGGATACCGGGTACCCAGTACTTCTGACGCAGCTCGTTCACTACGCGATCCTGTCCTTGATGTAACGACCAGACATGGTGTTGCTGTATGAGCAGCCTAGTGAAGGCGTGCTTCGGCGGGAGCAAGACAGGTTGGCGCAGGTTCTTGTTTTCAACCTTTGCGTTCCGTACGCGGCTGTCAGAGCGCATGATGCCATTGTCGTCGATGAAGGGTGTCATCTGGACCAGGCGGCTGTCCTTGTTGACTGGCTTGCCATTGCGGAGCGCAGCGAGTTCTTCTGGGAAGCCTTCCGCTTGTGCAGCTTTCCACCAAAGACTCTCCGCGGCTCGTAGCTCGGGGACTGTCAGCGACGGCTTGGCAGTGTCTCTTCCTCCGTGTCTCAGGTGGCGAGTGAAGCGTAGCACCCAGGCGGTTGCTCTTACCAGGCGACACCAGCTTGAGAAGCGCTCGATCTCTGGTAGTGCTGCCTTCAGGCTGGGTGGCTCTGAGCTGTCTCCGGCTGCTGCCTGGACGCCACTGAACGCACGCTTCAGCTCGAGATCATCCGGGTCCGGCGTATGAGTCTCCTCGGCGGGCCAGTCTGCTTCGCCTTGCCTCAAATAGTCCGGGCCGCCAAACCAGCGATCGTCCGGCTGCAAGCGCTGGGCAGAGATGCCCCTGGAGAGGTCGTCGGCTGGGTTCAGTCTTGTCGGTACCCAGTGCCACTGATCTACTTCTGTTGTGTCTGTTATTTCCGCGATCCGGTGGGCCACAAATGGTTTGAATTGCCGGGCGTCCGAGCGTATCCACAACAGCACCGTTCTGGAGTCTGTCCAGAATATGACCCGTGGAATTGAAATACGCAGCTGCTCCCGTACGGTACAGGATAGGCGCGAGGCGAGGACCGCAGCCTGGAGTTCCAGACGGGGTATCGAGGCCGGTTTCAGTGGAGCAACGCGTGCCTTCGCTGCAACTAGGGACACTGCCAGCTGAGTACCGTGGTTCGCTACTCTCAAGTACGCAGCGGCGCCGTATGCTTTCTCGCTTGCGTCAGCGAACACGTGCAGCTGGATGTCTGTAGCGACTGCAATCAACGGTGTGGAGCACCGTGGCACTTCTACGGTGGCCACCTGATCTAGCTCTGCAGCCCAATCTGTCCATCTCAGTGCAAGAGATGCAGGGAGTTCATCATCCCAGCCTATGCCAGCTCTCCACACGTCTTGGAGAAGCATGCGTGCGATGATGGAGTGGCAGGACACCAGGCCGAGTGGGTCGAATACCGACATTGTGTGTCGCAGGACGCTTCGCTTCGTGACTGGTGCCTTTGGATCTGGCTTCGTGCCGCAGGAGAAGCCAAGAGTGTCCTTCGCAGGGTCCCATCGGAGACCCAGGGTCTTCTCGATGGGGTGGTCGTGGCTGTGGACGTTCACGATTCTTGGTGACCTCAGATCTGATGGAAGGCTCTCGAGGACCGTCGGAGAGTTGCTCACCCAGTTACGGATCACAAACCCTCCCCCCTCGTGGACGTCCATCACCTTGCGAGTCAGTGCTACAGCTTCCTCGGTTGTTGGGGTGCTGTCGAAATAGTCGTCGACATAGTGGCACTCCTCTATGGCTGTCACGGTTCGCGCATCTCCGGAAGCCAAGTCGTGCGCATTGATGTTCTTCGCAAACTGGGCGGCGGTTGGTGAGCAGACTGCACCGAACGTCATCACGTCCATCTGGTACACATCAGCTGGTCTGCTTGCATCCATGTCGCGCCAGAGGAAGCGTTGTGCATGACGGTCTTCGGGACGCATCTTCACCTGGTGGAACATCTCCTTGATGTCTGCACCAAAGGCAACCTCATACAGTCGGAAGTTGTACAGAACTTGTGTGATCGGCGTCAGGAGGTCGGGGCCGGTGAGGAGGAAGTCGTTTAGAGACTTTCCATGCGACTTTGCCGCGGCGTCAAACACCAGTCGCACCTTGCCTTTCTCTTTGTTGTACACGGCAAAGTGTGGCAGGTACCATGTCCGCTCTGGCTGGTGGGTGGCCTCCTCAGGTGACAGCTTCCGGGCATACCCCTGTTCCAAATAGCTGTCGATCTTGCTCTGGTAGCCTTGTGCAAGCGTGTCATCCTTCCGCAGGCGCCTCTCCAGCTGCTCGAGACACTGGGCAGCCGTTGCCTTGCTCCGTGGAAGGGTGATGTTGTCCTCCCGCCAGAGAAGCCCCGTTTGCCACCGGCGTCCGGTACGCGTGGTGAGAGTGTCTAGCAGCTGGAGTGCGCGGTCGTCAGCCTTGCTGCGGATTTTCGCGGGCTTGACCCCGAGGGAGTCTAGGGCGAACGACTGCTGGACCAGGTCATGGAGGTCGCTGTCGAGACCCCAGGTGGAGAGGACCACGCCTTCATCGATTCTGCAGCGGCCGGCGATCGTTTTGCCATGAACAACCCACCCTAGCTTGGTCTGTGTAGCTACGGGTGCGTTTGGAGGGCCCTCCCCGATCACCCGTGGTGCGATCAGGCTGTAATTATCCTGTCCGATTAGGAGTCTGGGCTTGGCACAAGACAGCGTTGGTAGTTCAAGTCCCTCCAGGTGGGGGCAGTTTTTCAGCCGTTGAGGGTTGATTGATTGTGTTGGCAGGTTGAACTTGGCATGAGTGTGGACGTTTGTTAAGGTGAAGCTTTCCTGTCTCTGCCTGCCAGCTACGCTGAATGTTACTACCTTGGAGCTGGACTCCTGGTGCTGCTTGCCATCCGTCCATGACAGCCTCAGGGGCCGCGTTGGTCCTGCAAGTCCAAGTTCCTCCGCCAGTTCGCTTTCAATCAAGGACACTGTTGAGCCTTCGTCCAGGAGTGCGTACGTATCAGCCGCTGTGTCTCCGTTTCGTACCTAGACCGGAATCACCCTCAGCAGCACCCTTCCACTGTGTTCCGACACGTGGGTTGCCGAGGTGTATGTAGTCTCTGACATGCTTCCTAGCGGTGCTACACTTCCGCGGCCATCGCGGTGTAGTAGAGGATGGTGAGGTTTGCCACACGAGCAGGCCTTCTCCTCGCATACCCTTGCCAGGTGGCCTTCGCCAAGGCAGCGGAAGCACAGCCGTCTGTCACTAACGAACTGCCGACGGGCGTTAAGTGGCTCCGCGGCTAGCTGACGGCAGCTACTTGTGGTGTGCCCAGCTTTGCTGCAGAATAGGCAATGTGGCTTACCGGCGGTGGCCTCCACGACTGTGAACGTTTGGCCTGTGCGTGGAGTGGCATGAGTGACGTCACATGGGCTCGGCTGAGCGACTACGCATGCAGCCTTGGCCCTCTGTTGAAGCCAGGCAGAGAAGGTGTCCAGGTGCGGGTCTGTGCCGGTTTTAAGCACGTACTCTCCCCACTGGATCCGAAGCCCCCCAGACAGCTTGCCAACTAGCTCCTTGACCAATTGAGGGTTGTAGAGATGGCCGGTGCACTTTGTGCTTCGCATAGTGGCCACAAGGTTGCGGCACAGGGCGCTGATTTCAATCAGTACCTCGATGGCCTCCTCCGACTTCATGCCTCTCTGTGATTTCGTCTTCAGAATGAGATTCTGGACAATGATCCGGGCGGCCGAACCTCATCCTCAAGATGGAGATGACCTCCCCTACATTGTCGGGGAGAGTCATCATCCCCTGTACAGCTTCCTTTGCCTTTCCGCGTAGCGCCTTTTGCAGTCGTCCAAGGTTCTCCCCGTTCAAGAATCCGCACTCTCTGGTCGTGTGCTCCAGGGCGAAGATGAATGCTGGCCACTCGTCAGCATGTCCAGAGAACTGAGGCAAGTCCTTGGCAGTGGACTGCCTTGCCATGAAATGGTGGGTGGTGAGATTCATGGGGTGTGACTGCCTTGCACTTGTAGGGGTAGGACGTGTGCCATTGGGCTCGTTCCCTGAAGCCTGCTCACCTTGGACTTGGTGGTCCAGTAAAAGATCCTGGATTTGACCATTGGCTTCCTCAAGCGCTGCTCCCATGTTTCTCTCCGCGCGCTCGGCGCGCTGTGCGCGCTCAGCTAGGCTAATGCGATCCGCGCATGTCAGCTCGGATCCGTTGCCGGTCTCCCGTGATCGACGGGACGAACTTGATCGGACGCTGGCATTACTGCTGCCGCTTGACCGGTTTCTGTTCAACTTCTTCTGGAGTTCTAGCTTCTTGCGGATCAGCTTTCGTTCTACTTCTGCAAGCTCCTCCGCGGCGATACGTTCCGCTTCCGCGTCGAGTTCGTCGATTGAGCGGAGCGAGCGCCGGCTGCTGCAAGACGTTGCTGATGAAGTGGTGAGTGAACGAGCGCACATCGACCTGCTCCCGTTTTGGTACCCTGCGCTGGCTGCAGCAAGGCCTGCATTTTCGCCGATCTGCGCGTCGTTTGTGTACTGGACACGCTTTTGGTGTGCATGAGGCAAAAAAGGAACAGCCGGGGTCACAGAGCGCGTGTGAGTGTCATGCAAATCGGAACCTAAAAAGGACTGGCCAGCGTACGGCTGGTGAGGTGCTAAATCTACAGCAACATGATGTGGTGCGTGTACGGGATCATTGTTTGCATGCATTTGTGTGGAGGTGCGTGTGTGCGAATATGAAAACGGCCTACTTGTAGAGGAAGCATTACATGTTTCAAAATTGTTTTCATGACTTTCATGAACAAACTCGTTCGTGGAACTAGTAACATTAGTATTACGAACAGCAGAACAAACAGGCATATAATTATTTGGTGTGTGGAGACCAGGACCTAACTGGTTGGTGCTTTCTCCAGCTCCACCTCGAGTGATTTCACTTAGCTCAGCCTCTTGTTCCGTCTTGACGATGTCAGCCATCTGCGTTGACTTGCCGGCGTCGTCCTGGGCTGCCGCTGCTGCTGTTGCGTTGTCGTCGTCTCCGAATCGCGTCGGTGCACGAGACAGACGGCCACTTCGTGTGGTGTACATAGGTTCGCTGTGGCATCGATCCGCGACGCTCCTCAGCTCTCTGGTTGGTTCGAGTATGGCGATGCCGGACCCTCTCCGCGAGAATCCGGCTCGAAGGACCAATGTTTTCGTGAGATCCTAGTGCCCCGTGGCACAACCCTCGTCACAGACACAAGCTCCTAATTCTCTTGTTGGTTAGAAGGTGTTCTTTATTGATCTGTCCCTGTTCTCGGGAGTTGTGTGATTATAGGAAAAAAAGGTGTGCAACGTGAGTCGGACATGTATGGAAAAGTGTTGTATCGTGCTCTTTACAGTGGGTGCCCAATCGGGCAAAGCACAAACGAAAAGGGTGCCGTGAGTCAGTGCTGTCATGCAGCAACATGCACGCTAACAGTCAGGCCCCAGCCTGACGTACACTGTGTAAATTCCTTCACCATCGTCTCCATGTGCTCATACGAAGTGGTGTACAGGGCAGCATCATCCGCAAATAGCGACTCCGACACGGATAAGTCTGCGAGTCTGTGCTTGGCAGTACGGTCGCCAACCAACTTGCGGCCGATACTATGTTTCATCGGAAAACTAGGCACTGTGGATGTTGAGCGCCAGTGTGCAAGGACGGCAGAGAAGTAGAGATTGAACAACATCGGAGCCAGGGTACAACCCTGGCGTAGACCATTCTCCACCCCAACGCTGTCACACTGACCACTACCCACGCGAACAGAAGCCATTATACCCTCGTGGAGAGACCGGATCACCTGAAGCATGCGCGGAGGCACACCGAGTTTCTGCAGGACCAGCCAAAGCGCCTTTTGGGGGACCGAGTCGTACGGCTTGCGTAGATCCACAAACAAGACGTCCAGATCAGATTGATGTTCGATGGCTTTTTCGAGCACTTGGCGGGCAGCAAAGATCATATCGATGCAGCCCCTACCCTTCCGAAAACCGCACTGAGACTCCGGTAGCCAGTCTTCAGCGAGTGGCTCAAGTCGGTCCTGGAGCACGCGATCAAACAGTTTGCTCACAACATCTAGCTAGCTGATGACATGCCAGTTATCGCAGCTATGCCGGTTACCCTTCTTGGGGATGGGGACTATCTCTGCATCACGTCAGTCAGCAGAGACCGATCCAGTTTCCTAAACCCTAATGATGAACTCGTGGAGGCGACCCAACAAATGTTCACCACCACAACGAATCAGCTCTGGCAGAATGCCCGATTGACCAATGGCTGTGCTATTCTCCATACAGCGAAGTGCACGCTCAGGTAGAATAAGGACACTTTTCTGGTGCCCATGTACTTCAAGATCAGCGCTGCAACTCGCCATGGTGATAATGTGGCTGACGTCATGTTACCAAGGAAAACATGGCGTTTGGCCGTGTTCGCCGCACTCGAGCGCTCAGCTTTTTTCACAATCTTGTTTTGAAAAATACTTCAAGTCTTTTGCAGCTCTTTTGGAGGCCAGTCACAGCGCGATCTGTACGAGTATCTTTATCATGGCCATTGTCTTGTGTCGTGTTGAGCTTGAATAGCTTTCTCTGATGAAGGATTCAAATATCATGGTGTTCTCTTTTATCGTGGGCAAGAAGCTCCCCACTCGCAGCGGGGATAACATCGGACGGAAAAAATGTGTCGAGTCCCGAGCAGGAGTTCTGCTGACAAAAGTGATTAGTGTTCGCGACCTGGGGCATGTGAGGCCTACAGTTCTAGTTGGGCAATACCCCACGGACACATCTAGCTCGAAGCGCGGAGTCGATTGAGAAAAATGACCAAATTCATAAAGAAGGCTTGTTTGCTTCCACAAAATGTTTTAGTAGCCGAGTCCACGCACTGAAAACTGCACTTGCATTGTTCCTGTCCAGTCATACAGTACATCAGTGCAGTACAGAGTGCACTTGCAAGTCACAACGACACGAGCACAGTCGCGTGTACAGACTCAGTTGTGACCAGCGATCGCGCGTGGGAGTCAAGCACCCTACTCAAGTGCGCATGCTCGGCTCGCTGCATGCACTGTCTGTAGATCTACAGCAGATTGCTGGTGTGATGCACTACATCAAGAGTAGATAAACAAGAGTGTGCAACTCGCGGATGGGTTGGCCCACGGCGGAATTTTTTGTTGACGTAATCTTTTCGACGACGCACGCGCTGCGAGCCTTTTGGAGAGTTTTCCCTCGTGCACTTGGGTGGGCTTTACACTACAAGGTCGGTACCCAGCACGTGCTCTCACACTGCTCTGCGGCAAAGCCGCGTTTCTCTGAAAAAAGGTGACGTAAACAAAAAATTCCGCCGTGGGCGCGGGGTACCGGGTATCTGCAGATTGTGCAGGAGAGATCCGGAGTTGCACACTCTTGTTTATCTACTCTTGACTACATGTACAGCGCAGTCATTTATGTGTACCAAGAGACAATGTCGGCTATTTTGAAACGGCAATGACAGCTTCATCCATAAACGCGGAGCGTGGGGAATGTCTTTGGCGAATTAGAGCTGTTGCATTGGCTAGCTGTACATCCCAGCAAGCGGGAATGTGCTGGATATCGATACTAAACACCCGTTCATCGCGGTGGTGAGTCTGAACAGACCCCGAGGCACGACAGCTTCGTATACTAAATGTGTACAGTGCGTATGGTGAAACAAGTCGATCTGGTTTCCAGCGAAATGTTGTTATCTATGTACAATATCCACCAATATCCTTTATCTAGCGCCCAAAGGCTATCCAGTTCACTAGGATGTGTGGCCTTACTATTTTTCGTTTTCTCCGCGTTTTGGGTTGAAATCTGAACATAAAAAGTAGCACTGATGACGTCATTCAGCTCAAAATTTAAAGGGAAGTATACCCTAAAATCAAATTTTCACCAGTTGTAGTCTTCGGGGTGCTGAGTCGAATGGTCTTGGTCCGAGGAAGCTGCGACGCTCCCTTCCTACTTGAATCCCAATCGAACTCGCGCACTTCCACCGAAACTGGGTGACTGCGCCCTACTACTAGTACTAGATGGGGATTTGTATGCAAAATGTCACTAAAAGCGCCATTTCGTTCTTATAAAAGCACGGATGACCACGATTGGCCCATATGTTGTAGTCTTTTGGACGCTGAGTCGACTGGTTTTGGTCCGAAAAGGCTGCGATGCAGCGTTCCTCCTTTATTCCCAATCGAACATGGGTGAACAAGCGGTCACGTGCTCCTGGTTGCCCAAATCACCTGGTCACCGCGCCAGCAGGCGACAACTTTCACACCAAGGTTCAACTCGAGTTCAACTCGAGTGACAGGCATGCACCCAAAAAAGGTCAAACAGGCTAGTAAGTTGTACCCTGAAGGCACGGTGACCAGGTGACTGGTGTACGCAGGAGCACGTGACCGCTTGTTCAACCATGTTCGATTGGGAATAAAGGAGGAACGCTGCATTGCAGCCTTTTCGGACCAAAACCAGTCGACTCAGCGTCCAAAACTTACTACAACATATGGGCCAATGGCGGTCATCCGTGCTTTTATAAGAACGAAATGGCGCTTTTAGTGACATTTTGCATACAAATCCCCATCTAGTAGGGCGCAGTCACCCAGTTTCGGTGGAAGTGCGCGAGTTCGATTGGGATTCAAGTAGGAAGGGAGCGCCTCAGCTTCCTCGGACCAAGACCATTCGACTTAGCACCCCGAAGACTACAACTGGTGAAAATTTGATTTTAGGGTATACTTCCCCTTCAAATTTGATATTGAAATTCGATGACAACTAACCCAATGTATCAACACAGAAAATTTGGTGGAAAAATATTCATGTATGCCAAAGTTATTACCAATACAAGTTTTGTACACACATGATCACCTTATTATACCTGAGCGTTGGAGCTCCTCGATGCTAGGGACGTCATCCAGATGTTCACGAACATCCAATACAGGCATGCTGTCAACAGTGTGTTGGTCAAATTGGCTCTGCGTATTTAACACCATCTCAAAGTGCCGTCCGACACGAGCACAAACAGCATCCGCATCCGGGATCAAGTTGCCGTTCTCATCCAGCACAGCAGATGTATGCTTCGAAGTTCTGCCCTTCTCGATTTCCTGCAGCTTCCGGATGCACTTCCAGCGAGTTTGCCCATATGTCTTAGCCTCCTCAGCATCTCGCACTACCTCTGATATCTATTTCTCCTTCGCCATCCGGACAGCCTTTGCCATTGTACGTTGTGCCTGACGAAAGGCTTTCCGAGTATCAACTGTATCATTTGACAACAACGCTTAATGGCAGGTATTCTCGGCATGACAGCCACATATACACACAGACAGACAGACACAAACACACACAGACAGACATATAGACAGATATAGAGAGAAAGAGAGTAAGTAAGATAGAGCTATGTGAGCTATGTGAGCTACACGAACAGCATGTACTTGTAAAGCATCCATGACTTGTGACCATCAGTAGAGTTTGCTTAATCCATGAGTGGATCAATCAAGCCTGCAGTTCTGTACCTACATAGTTGATCTGCCAAATTTGATATTAACCAAAATACGACAAAAGAGGGAGAGATGGCAACCTCTACCCCCCCCCCCCCCCCCCCCACACACACACACACCACCACCACCACCACCACCACCACCACCACCACCGCAACAACCATACGTAACAACCATGTGAGGGATCGCAGGGAACTGGAATAGAAGTGATACTTGTACGTGTACTGAAGTATACTAAAGATGTGCTGAAAGATCAAACTGTGTGTGATACGTTGTCTTGATAATACTTCAAGTAGTACTCCTGGATCACAAGCATTAGAAGCCAATCTGCCCCTAATCGATACAAAGATATCCTAGGATTACTTCGGCCAAATGTCTTCGTTGTTTCCTGTACTTGGACTCCAAGGGTAACCCGGAATGTTGTTTGAGGCCAACAAACTGTTTGACATTCATACAAGTATTTTTTTAACGATTTTGATTTTTGAATCCGTGAGACAAAGCAATATAATTATTGTTCACAGCTACTTCCTCCGCGTCATTACAATTGTCGCTTCACACATCGCAATGTTTGTGATTTGCTTG